CATTTTAAATTAATTCATTGGAAATCCTAAAAAACTCGGAAAATTGCCAAAAAATTATCGAATTTATGAAAATTCCAAAGTTCAGATTGATTATTCATTTATTTGAAGCCAATAAGATGTTAGCTGTGAATTATATTATAATAAATATTCTGATCTCTATTATTGTGAATTATATTATAATAAATATTCTGATCTCTATTAATCAGAAGTTTTCTTCATTCATTTAACAAGATGGTATTTTATAGTCACAAAATGTGGAATATCATTCTCAAAATAGATGTTTACTTTAATAATTTCCTAAACATGTTATGTAATGCAAAACCGTGAATAGCTAAATAAATTGTAGAGAATTTATATTGCATGAAATCAGAACTGAATTGCGAAAAATTTACCAAAAATGAAAATACTTTTTGCAAAAATAGACTTTGGAAGGAGCTTCTTCAGAAGGCGGTCTAATGGTTGTTATATCTGTATTTGATTTTTTTTTTTATTACTTTCTAAATAGTGATAATATATTATTTAGTCAATGCAACAATGCCGAGTATGGTTAATTTTCTATCTAAAACTTATTTTTCATCAAAGCAAAATTGAATATCATACCTTGATATCAGGTTGTCCGAAAGGCAGACAACTTAGTTTTTGGATTTTGGACTTTTTGATTAAGAAGCCTGGAATTTACCAGAGTTCCATGAACCTCTTTTTTGGTATTTTAATTTGATGATATTAATTATCTCTTCTTAATTTTTGGTGTATCCCACAATTGGTTAATTATAGAGAATATAAATTGCAGGAAATTAGAAAGAAATTGCGAAAAATTTATCAGAAGTAAAACAATTTTCTGCAAGAGTAGACACATTTTTGTGGTAAAAAATGTATGTAAAAAATGAAGAAAATTAAATTTTGCTAATACTGTTTTATAAATCTGATTTTTTATTCTCCAATAGATATGGGTGTCAAACAGTATAATTTGTATGTAGCAAAATATATTTTTGCATTTGCATAAATGTGATTATATGAAGTTGTAGGTTCAGCTTTGAAAAATGTTGCCAGAGAGCAAAGAATTATGATGTAAATTTCGTTCTTTCTTTATACATTTGCAGCTATTAATATTAATATATTCATTGTCAACGTCGAGTTGTCCATTACATGAATATCATATAATAAAAACTGTTTTCGTATTATATTTTTCGTCCGTAAAAAATGATTTTACGGCGAACGAGTTCGTATTTTATCAAGGTTTATTCGTTATTATCCGCCGTATAAAAATGGTGTAAAATTTATGAATTTTTGTTCAAATTGGTACTAAACTTTGTGCTTTCATACTCCCATTAAAATTAATAGCTATATTAAAAATTAAATTCTTTATGAAAGAGGTAGAGATAAAGACTTTCTGAGTTCGCCTAAAAGCTCCTGAATTCGAGAACCCAAACAAAACTAGAGCAGAAAAAAAAAATATTGCAAAAATCATAATCACTTATAATAAATTTCAATAAATCATATTAAGAATAGTAATGATAATTTTAGTATGATATTATTAGAATAAATTGAAACTGATTTGCGAAGTAAGCAAAAATTTTACACTGCGTGTTAATTTGCTCGAGAAATGCGCAATTTAAATTGTTTTTGAACGAAAATAAGCGTAATTTTCAAACAAAAATATTAAAATATTATTTACAACCTCTTGATATATATATATATATATATATATATATATAATAAAATTTACCTGTTTATATATTTGCCCACCTTCATGGATTCTATAATTCGCTTTACTTCTTGTTCCGTGATCATATAAAGACTATTATACATTTATGGACAGAATAAAAATTTTATTGCTAATATCATGAAATTTATTTTTTTATATCCAATGCCATATTGTATAAGGAATTATATTTTCATAATTGGAAATAATCATTGTATTGGAAAAAATATTTTCTTTTACAATTTTAATTGATATTGGGAAATATTGGGGAGCATATATTGTTTGGTCAACATGAGGAATTGAGTTTATGTCTTTTGCTTCAAGCCGTTTCTTATAGAATTTTTAAGGTGCTATAATATTTGATGGTAGGAGTTTAGTAGGTAGAATGGTAGTAACAATTGTTGGGACTGGTCAAATTATGGATAGTGAATATTATTTACTATCAAGCTTTGGCTTCTATTTAATTCATAATTCTATATCTCTATTGCTCTATTTAATTTCCCACCTGGTTATAATTTACCTCTATACATTACTACTATTCATTCGTTTGTTTCTGATAGTGGATTTGAAAGGACAAAACCGCATTGTTAATCTATAATTGCGTTCCGATCACAAGTGAGTACACACTGTTCTCGGTTGACTAGAACTTGCTAAGAAATAATCTGGGAGCTCGAAAAAAATTGCAGTACATAATTGATATAAAGACAAAACTAATTTGGAGATGAAACTAATCTAAACTAATGGAGAAAGGACGGTTGCCAACTATTAGTTCATTCTAGTTACTATTCAGAAGCAGCAAAAATATAGAGATATAGAATACATATAGAGACAATTTGATATTTTACATTCTCAAGGTTGAGGTTTAACTAGCTTTCTCTACCAATTTTTTAATCCATCAGTTTTTTTCCATCCAACATAACGTTACTCTATCCAACTTTTCTCCTTACTAATGTTCTAATAATATTAGCAGTTGATCTGATGATTATTTTCTAAATCTAGAACTTTTTCCATTGAAAACCAGAACTTCACTCCATCCAACCTCTCTATTTTCGAATCTTTTCTACTAACTTTTTAATAATCTTAGCAGTTGATCTCATGATTCTTTTCTAAATCTAGAACTTTTTTTATCCAGAACTATAACTTTGCTCTATCCAAATTTGCTCTATTCAAATTTGCTCTATCCAAATTTGCTCTATCCAACTTTGCTCTATCCAACTTTGCTCTATCCAACTTTGCTCTATCCAACTTTGCTCTATCCAACTTTGCTCTATCCAACTTTGCTCTATCCAACTTTGCTCTATCCAACTTTGCTCTATCTAACTTTGCTCTATCCAACTTTGCTCTATCCAACTTTGCTCTATCCAACTTTGCTCTATCCAACTTTGCTCTATCCAACTTTGCTCTATCCAACTTTGCTCTATCCAACTTTGCTTTATCCAACTTTGCTTTATCCAACTTTGCTCTATCCAACTTTGCTCTATCCAACTTTGCTCTATCCAACTTGGCTCTAACCAACTTGGCTCTAACCAACTTTGCTCTAACCAACTTTGCTCTAACCAACTTTGCTCTAACCAACTTTGCTCTATCCAAATTTTGTCTATCCAACTTTTGTCTATCCAACTTTTGTCTATCCAACTTTACTCTATCCAACTTTACTCTATCCAACTTTACTCTATCCAACTTTACTCTATCCAACTTTACTCTATCCAACTTTACTCTATCCAACTTTACTCTATCCAACTTTACTCTATCCAACTTTACTCTATCCAACTTTTTGCTATCCAACTTTCCTCTTTACTAATTTTTTATACTAATTTTCAAATAATCTTGGCAGTTGATCTGATGATTCTTATCTAAATCTAAAACTTTTTCCATTCAACTTTTCTTTTACTATTTTTTTCTACTAATTTTCTTATGATCTTGGCAGTTGACTGTTGATTCTTATCTCAGGCTGAAACTTTACTCCATCCAACTTTTCTCTCCAACTAATTTTTTAATTACTAATCTTCTCTACTTTTTTAATAATTTTGGCGGTTGATCTGATGGTTTTTGCCAAAATCTAGGACTTTTTCCAATCATCACTACAACGTAACTCCATCCAACTCTTTACTTATCTTTTCTATTAACTTTCTAATAATTCTGCAGTTGATCTGATGATACTTACCAAGTTTCCATCCAGAAGTAGAACTTTGCTCCATCCAACTTTTCTCTTAACTCTTTCTACTAACCATCCTATCTTTCTACTAACTTTTCAATGATCTTGGCAGTTGATCTGATGTTTTGTACTTAAATCCATAACTTTTTGAATCCAAAAATATAACTTTACTCCATTCAACTTTTCTCTCTACTAATCTTTTCTACTAATTATCTATTACCTTTGGTAGTTGATCTGGTGATTCTTACCAACACCATTATAACAATGTATAGAAATTCATCCTTTTCTGCACCGATCATTAAAATTATCGACATTCCAAATCGATGATCCATGTTATTGCCTATTTTCCTTTTTCTGGTCGTCTATCCGTTTTCCTGATTCAATTTCCCTCCCAGCCGTCCAATTATTTGCCGCGATGAGAAAATGCGATAGGTTGCCCTTCATTTCGAGTCGTTTAGTGCGGAACGGGCTAACTTTGTAAACTCGTAAAGCATCACGAAATGACCAGGCTGCCACACAATGTCAATACACACAAATCATACTCTAAGGAAAATTCCATCCAACTGGAACACACACATAAGAAAAAATGTGCGTAAATATACTCTACACGTGCAGATGACATCGATACGGTGAAGACCAAACAAAAAATGCGAAGTCCTTGTTTAGAAAATTTTATTGGAAGAAAAATCAATAAAAACCTGATTGCTTAGTGGCGAATGGCGAATCTTTCCTTTATGCGGAAAAGAACTAAATTGGATGAAAATTTCAATCTAAGGGGGTAATAGAGAAAGAATCGACACCCACGTTCATGGATAATCAAATCAATCCTTTCAATAACAAAATAATGAAACTGAATTTCAGTACTTTCTAAACATACAATTCGATGTTCTTCCCGAAATTTATACAGCTAAATGATTATCATTTACATATATTGATTTTTTTTTCTAGATGAGTCTTCTACATATTTTGGTGAAATTTTTTAAGTAGAATTAGTTAAGCAATTATCAATTATATAGATAGATTTTCAGAACTATTTTTTAATAGTATAGATAAAATTCTATATTTGCCAAAAATTAATAGTCAAGTTTATAAATTATTGCATTTTTTATGGATGCTTTTTCATATATTTTTTCTTTGTTACAGGTTAAGGAGGTCTCTATGCGCAACAAGAAACGAATTAAATAAAAGGTAAGATTTTACTTAAAAAATCTATATTTAATTAGGATAATATTGGGAAGCAATCTTATAGATTTAAAATTTTGCCTTAGGTTAATATTTGGTATCTGAAAATCTCTAACTTTTGTAAATTAAAGGATAGTAATTGAATATCAGAAGAATAGACTAATTCAAAGAACATCATAATTGGTGACCACTTATATAAGAAAAATTATCACAAGATACGAATTAAATAAGTTATCTTTTTCCATTAATTATGATAGCATTGGGGAGTAGTTTCAAATATAAGTCGAACGAATTATATTACGAAATCAATACTGGTCGTAAGTCTCATTATTTGAGTAATTTAGGTGATAGTAATTGCGTTTTAGAAATACAGAAAAATTTTAATAAAAAAATGAAAGTTACACAATTGCATCAACAATCACGAAAATCCACATAGGGATCAATTGGATATTCTTTGAAGGAGTATACTCCACTTCAATTTATCAAATTCCTAAATGAACACTTTTGTCTGTGTAATAATTTGATCGGTATGTCTGTTTTCCCTGTTGGCGAAATGTGCAAAATAAAATTCCTACTTTTGAAAATTAGAAAAATTCAAGGATTTGATCATGATACTTCACGTAGGTACTGATCAATTACGCGTTGAAACAACATACTACACTACAATTTATGGACTTCCTGATTGAAAAATTTCATCTGTATACTAAATTTGGCAGGCATAATTTTCATTGTACTCTGTTTTCACAGAACTGTGCAAAATAATATTCCAACTACTATTTATATAGTAAAAAACATACGAGAACCGTATGGTCTTTTAGCCTCTCAGTCAGTCCATTAGCCTATTTCAGAGCTGACAGACGGCTGATTGAGTACCTAAGACTTGTATTCGCATTTGGCTCATTACTAACTCTGCATGCAAGTCGACATCAAAGACGAGAAGAACATTTGACGCGCTTTTCATTATGGCAAATTCATCTGCTTACGTTTCCGCGACAATTATTCATTATTTGATCTATGAGAAACGAACAGGAAGAAAGGGATAAATGAACGGTATATATATATATATATATATATATATATATATATATATATATAATTTAACATTGAAATCCTCTTTGCCTCACAATTTTAAAAATAGTCATAAAGTTTCAATTTTAAATTGTGTTGAACTGGAGAGTCTCAAAATTTGAACATACCTACCCATCTCAGCTCTCCAAGTAATTTAAAGAAAAATATATGAATATGTAATATTAACTTAGAATAATGTATGAACTAAGGATAAGTTAAAAAAAAAACAAATAGCGACTGCCTTGAAAAAAATTTCATACATTATGATTATAAGTTTTTTGGTATTCTCGAAATTTTGAAAAAATAGTTAAAATCGGAATTTGGTATTGAGTGTAGTTCATACTGAAGAGAAGTCTATAAAGAAGACTCTGTGAAAAGTTCGATTTAATCGGTCCAGTAGAAGCTGAGAAATCGTGGGTATCATATCGAAAAAGACAATTTCAAGAAGATGAGGATTATCATGATGAAACAGCTACATCTCCGATTTTTTTGTGTTTCCATCTACTAAAGTGTGGAATATTATTTCAAAATACTACCCAGTGGTAGTCATTTTAAGTTTGTAAAATATATACAGAAAATAATTATAAATCTAAATTGTATATTAACTATATATGCTAAATCTAATGGGCTTTGTCTTCTTCCTAACAGTATTTGTAGAGAGCAGGTTTTTCGCAAGTTCATTGGGATGATTTTCCAATCTTGTGTTGAATTTGGATGCGAATCTTCTGATTTCTTCTGCTACTGTGTATATATTGCAATCTTGATCGATTTGCCAACTAGGAACGTATTTGTGTGCCTCCAGTATTTTCTTAAGGATTTTGTTCTGGGTTCTTTGTAGAATGTTTCTGTTGGTTCGACTTGCAGTATCCCAGAGAGAAAGGCCGTAAGTCCACATTGGTTTTAAGACTTTATATACCAGAAGTTTGTTGGAATATCTCCGAAAATAATTGAAATTTTGAAATATTCTATTGCACACATATTCTTGCATAGTTAAACTTTGTGAAAATATATAAAAAAACACAAAATAATTTTTTTTTAAATTCTAGACTGGTTTGTCTTTAAAAAAAAGTTAGTAATACAGTAACATATAGATTCATATATATGTATATTTATATACATAACATTTATTTAAAAGATACATCCAAAAATAAATTTGGCACGACATCCATAATTTTTTTTGAAGTATTTTTATTTTCTAACAAAATTTGATGTCGAAAAATTATGAATGCCGCTGAAACCACTCAATGCCACTTGTTGAATGCGAATACCATAAAGCGCGCATACACGACCCAGTCGTTTGACGGACTCATGTAAGACTATTTTCACACTTGAAAAATAGAAATTATTATATTAGAGACTTAGGGACTCTCCATTAATCATGTGCTAATAAAACTAGTAGTGCATGGCATTGTGCCTTAAGACAAATTGCTGAAACTTGAATTTTTTTAAGAAATTTACCACTTATGGAACTTTTTGTCCCGTATCTATGAATCAGCTCCACCTGGCTTTATCAAAAACAATCTCTTCAGCTCGTCAATACGAATCGAATGTTTTTTGAATGATTCAAATCGGTTGATCTGTGTTCACAAAAGCGTCGAGGAAAATTTGTATCCGAAGACACACACACACAAATACATACATTTTTTCTAAAATGTAAATGTGTACGAAAATCCTAATAAGAATTTGAAAGATTTTTTTTTAATTTTAGATTGTTTTGCGATTACTATAATTTACCATACGGAAAGTTAATTAACCTCCTCCTTGGTGATATTCACAATTAACTTCTTTCCTCACCCAACATCACGTGTATTTTAGTTGGAAACCTATCTAGAGAAAATCGTACACGTTTTGGACATTTTTTGAAAAATTTTGGATTTTATTTTTAAATTCAGGTGAAATATAAATACACGCTTTTGTATTTTACTAGACACTCCTCAAGTGATATTTTTTGACAAACACTTCCTCTCCTATTAGACCTCACTTAAGGAACCACTTTTGTCAAACACCTCCCCCATTAAATAATAATTATATATTAATTAAATTAATTTAGGTAACAATAAATGAAAACATAATTGTGGTTAACTTTCTCTTTCGATAATACATTCAATTATTGAATTTTTATATATTCAATCAAATTTTCATTATTATTATTTCCATCTTTTGATGGATGCACATTAATCTTGAAGCGGATGCTAAGATTTCTTATTATTAGAAGCAAAATGTGCAATCCAGCGAGTTCTAATTACTTACAAATTATTTTTACTATGAAGGCAGGAAGTAAATACTAATATCTAACAATTATCTTTGGTAAATCACACATTCATATTTTTTTTTAAGTAAGCGCACATTAATTACGTGAGGCTTAAAAGGAAATGGAGGGTCTAGTAAAGATATCACGTCTATTTACCTAAAATCCAAAATTTTCCAAAACAAGTCAATTTTTTTAGGATTATTTCTAGGTACTACAAATACACATGATGTTGAGGGGGAATGTTAATTTTAAATATCGCCAAGTGGTCTCAAATTCCTTAAAAGTTGATTTATCTACGTGATTAATGGATGCCTCCTAACCCAGCAAATAGCGAATAATGATATCCACCAATTATTATTTGAAAATGTCCCTTTATGGTCGATTGTTAAAATGAGTTAAATATCATTTCCTTTCCGATTTCCGATCTGAAAGAGTCTCAATCCCGCGCAATGTGTGCGTTGTGTGTTTTATGTGTCCGTGTCGTCCTCACATGTTTGTAGATTATGTGTGTTGTGTGTAGTTTTGTAGAGATATTCTATAAATAGACTCCGCGCATTCGACTTCTTTCTCGGCTCATATGTGCGTTCATGACTTCCAACCGACGAGCTCGGTGCTCTTCACCTGCTACGTATGTATTCGCATATATTTCTTTGTCTTGGTTGTCAAATAATTATAAACAACTAATTTTGGTAAAGGAACTGAAATGCTCACTTATAAGTCTCTTACCTTGCTCCTGGGTAAGTGTGGCTAGAGCAACGGGAGCTGAATCCAGAGGTTCTGGATTTGATCCCGCTTCGATGTTCGATGTTTAGTTATACCTAAAACATTTTTTTTAAATTTTCAAAATTTTTTCCATGCTCCTTCCATACAAACTTTAATGGAATTGCGCTTTTAATTTTTTTTTTAATATTAAGAGCTATAACTTTCAGGGAATTGTTTTTTATCAATTTGGAACCATTTGAGCCCCTGGGAGCAAGGAAATTCGGAAATGACCATTTTAAGGACCACCCTAATATATATATATATATATATATATATATATATACGAGTATATATATATATATATATATATATATATAATTTGTGTGTATATTTTTCAATATGAGTGCGAGTCTTATGCACTTCCACCGATATTGAAATACGTAAATTAAATACATCCAACTAAATTTACATATCGCATTGTTATCAGTTGTACACTTAATGACTCGATGCTCTCATTAAAATCTATTAATAGCGTCTTAAATAAACATTACTTATCAATTGGACAAAAAAAAACTTGCATAGTGATTCTGCTTGCAAAACGCGAACCGAAAGCAAATCAGGTACACATATGCAATGTATGTGGAAAATACATACATTCAATACATTGCATTGCAAAATAGTAGTAGACCCCAAGAACATCCATAACTAATATGGAAATATATTCTGTCATATAAGTATTTTATAAGAATCCAACTTTTTAAACTTATTACCTTCACATTGAATACACAATTTGGCTACTTCACTTCCTAAATCAGATGCATAAACCAGATACAAAAATCCAAGCAAAAAACACAATCTCAATGCTAACCGCATTCATAAACTTCACGCAAGAAAAAATCTAAAGATCTAAAAAAAACTGTATCATATGCAAATGAATTATGAATCGCGTCCCAGTAATTTTAATAAATTATATATGCATAAGTTTGAATAATAATAATGATACAATCATAATTTAATACGACGTTATTGTGCCAACTAATGGCCTGTTAGTTTAAACAATACCGACATTAAATTGATACAAGTACTAAATGATGATTGATTGAGGCAATTTAAAATTAACATTAAGTTACTTAGTAGAGTAATTCACAACCACATATGTAAATACATGATATGTTTATTAAAAATAGCAATAAGTGTTCACATGTGTACTTAGGAACATGATGTCATCGAGTAAAAACTTTGACCTACCATATGTTTGTATAGCTAGTCACTTACATCTGTAGTAAACGACGAGGTTGATGTTGAAATTCGGCATTTTTGGGGGGTCAAAATATTCAAATATAAGAAAATGATGAATTTTTTCTCTTAATTTTTGGGATTCTCAATTTAAGGCAAGCTGAAATTAAAAAACAATATTCAAAAACAAGAGTAAAATAAACAAATAAATTAACTAAAATGATATACAGAAAAATATGTTTAAAATACATACATTCATTCAAGTTTCATAAATATTTATAGGCTGGGATTTTGTTTAGTTGAACAAGCCTGGTGAATTTGTTTAATTTTGATTTCAATAGTTTGTATCTTCAAGTAGCCAAATAAACTATATTTCTAAATAAATAGTATTGTCTGCATTTTTGTGGTACAAGTACGTACTCAATTTGTTCTAATTACTGGTTTATTTAATCACTAAAGAATTTGATAATCATCACTCTTATCTTAAGTTGCTCTTAACTTCATGTAAACTATGAATTGGTTGAAATCATTCATTTTTGCAATTATTTTCAAATTAATATAAGTACCACTTAAAACTAATATGCTCTATAGTTCTTGTCTACCTTTTGCCATTTTTTGCACTCCATAACGGAGTGCTCAGCATTCGCCCTAGTCACTCCACCCAAGCAATAGCAATTAGTTTTGGTATTGTACAACATTTTTTACTAATATCTAAAATAGTGCTAACTATAAGTATCACCAATATAATGTATTAGTGGTGGGTATAAAATTGGGTTAAAAAAATTGGTTTGAAATTTTTATTTTTACTAAATAAGATAGCATTATAAAAAATCAGATAAATTATTTAAACATTGAACAAATAAAAAATACAAGATGAATAAACTATCTATTAATTCTATTATACTCAAAATATAAAATTTCTCAGAATCGCTATCGACATCCGAAAATAAACACCATCCATCAATGCCGTCTATAACGAGGTAGATCACACCAGTTTTTTTCTTGTTCTATCTAATAAATTAATAGATAGCAAATAAAGGAAACACATATACAGCAAAAAAAACTTATACAAATATGGTCGATGTGCTATTTTTAAAATTTTATTAATAAACAACAATGAAGAACCGATGTACACAAATGTAAATATTTGACCTGATATTACAGAACAGCGGCCATCATGGCTAGGTTTTGAAACGCGTCACCAAAATTTTCTAAGGAGGTGGGATGGACAAATAATGTGGAACTTGTATTGATTCATGTATATGGATACATATTTTTGGTTGTGTGTGGTGATGTTTGTTGTTCTTATTAGTTTAAAAAAATAATGACAAATGTAATTAGATTAAACAAATCCGGATTTTGTATGAGATTATTGCGAGCTGTTACATAAACTTGAAATTGATGGTTGAATAGGCAGACTTATGTTGCAACTTTTATTTGATCGAGATGAAAGACACAAAGTATTAAAAAGCTTCTGCAGCTCTTTGGTTTAATATATTTAATTGCTAAAACAAGATGATATTGTTTGTTTTTTGACTTTGTGTACACGTACATTAGTCATATACATTTTATAAGTTATCTTTACAATTTTATTTTATTTGATTGTATATAATTGTATAGCTCACCGCATATCCTTTTTTTGCCAATAATGTTATAAAATTGGTTGGGAGGGAGATTTTTTGCCTTACTATCTTCCTCCATAGTTCTTGCCTACCCTTTTTCCATTTTTTGCACTCCATAATGGCGTGCTCAGCATCCGCCCTAGTCACTCCACCCAAGCAATAGCAATTAGGATCGGTATTGTACATCATTTTTCTCTTTTTCATATATTATCTAATTATCACCATTTTTGGATTTTATTTATCTAATCGATCTGTTAAAGGTGTATTCACCTTTTTCGCGATAAATTTGATCCATTCATAGATTTATTCCTCAGTTTGTTTATAAGTCTATTTTTTCGACAGCTTTTTAGATGTTCGACCTTATTCACATTTCTAAACATTAGGTAACATCGCGCTATATGAAAATTTTGTTTATTCTTCGAAATGTTTAGCATAGTTTGTAAATCAAAATGAATCAGTTGCCAAGAAATCTATCTATCAATAAACCTTTTGTAAGTAATGGTCAGCAAAGAAATGGTTTATAGAGAAGAAAATGAATGTTATATTGACCAGCTGATACACATGGTTTTCATTAAATCTCACGTAGGATTTGTTGCCGCAAGACATATTGCGGCAATTAAACGCAGTTTTGTAGCAATAAAAGTGTTTGTTATTCTATTTATAGTAGGTATCCATCTGAGAATGGGATTATAAACATAAGAGTTATACTTTATGGTTTACCAACACTTGCCTTGGTTTACTGACTGAAAATTGAACGTTTAAAGCCAGAACTTCATAAAATCTGACATCATGGGTTGATAGAATTTTAATGCCCAATTAAGATATCTTACTCACTATTACACTATTTATGTCTAAAGGGCTTCACCGTCGCTTAGTGGTTAGAGCTTTGGTCTTCCAACCAAAAGGTTTCAGGATCCCAACTCAGAGAGTCTGAGTCATGCAATAGAGACATCAGTTTCTACTTGAAAATATAGTAGAAGTGAAAATAGCCTTTCTCCGGCATTGCTGCACCAATTAAAAAGTCACCAACTGTTAGAAAAATATAGCCAAAAAGTGCAATGATTGATTTTAATATAAACCAAATCTATAGCTTGATATGATATTACATCATTTCAATATCCAGTTATGTTAACACTTCGATATTAATCGTTAATTTAATTGTAACACATTTAGATAAATCAAGCCATGTTTATGTTGAAAAGCTATAAATTATAACTAGGAAGTGAATATTCTTGCTGGCCGGGGGTTATAAATAGAATACGCGATTATTAGAAACTAACACAAGACTTCTAGAAATAGAACAAAATTCATATATTTAATTAGCAGTCTTTTATATTTGTCGAAATGTTATATGTAGTTAGAGATGGGACATCAACCCAGCACCGACCGAAAAATAGATTCGATTATATCACTGTGAGTTTAAGGTGTAAAATAATATTCTTATGAAAATTTTCTTGGTTTTTTGTAGTCATCAAGGTAGTGTAATTTCAATTCGATTTAGTTAGTTTTAAATTTTCATAGTGGGATTTTTGATTATTAGAGTGAGTTTATTATTATTATATGGGATTATTATTGATACAAGATTTTGTTTTATTTTTCTAAAATAGAATATTCATTTATTAATTTATAGGTCTTGCTTTAAAACATTGGTCATTTTCAATATTTTTATTTCTATTTCAAATCCTATTTTTATATTGTATTTTATTCAGTGCCTTTGCAACATGCTGATTTTGTTTACATATTATCCTATTTTATTTCGTATTTTTGAAATATGCAGATTTTTATTATTATATTGAATATTAATTCAGACGCCCCCTTACCAATATTGCGCCCATACACTGACCAATATTTAGCTTTTTATGGGTAATAAGTGTATTGCAGATTTTACTGATATGAGAATATTGTAAAATTAGGGCATTTTACTTTGAACAACATGTAACATCAATTTAAAAATATGGAAATACTGTTAAAAAAATAGTTAGAAATAAAGTTAAAAATAGTTTGAAATAGTATTAAAAATAGTTCAATCGTGTATAAAAAGACTTGAGAATAAAAATTAAATCGAATAGAAGTAATGAAGGAAGTAACGGAAGTAAGAATAGAAGTAATGAAGACGTAAGAATATAGAAGATACAATGATAGATAATAAAGAAGAAGAAAGAAGAATGAAGTTAAGTTGAAGAGTACATAGAATAGGATAGAATATAAAATAGAAAGAAGAATAGAATTGATATAAGGAAAATAGTATCAACATGAAGATTGTATTGTAGTTGAAATATGTTGTAGGTGGCTAAATGCTCGAGTAAGCAAGGCCAATAAAAAAAATTAAGATCTAAATAAATTAATAATAATAATAATAATACTAATAATAATAATTAATAATATATAACAAAATATTATAATTATGTTTCCAAGAGAAAATAGGTTTTTGGGGCATTGGGATTCACATTAAATACATCATCAATATTAGAGAAATACCTATAAAAAATATAGGTTCAACAGTTGGGTCTTCTAAAAAGCGACATATCGCCGAGATTTATCAAGCAACTCTTAAGTTCTGATTGTTGGTTCGAAAACATAACTAAACGTGATTCAATTATTATTAATTATAATTTTCTTCCCTTCCAGATCGGTGACATAGAGGTTTTCGGGACATGCATGTATCGACGGGGCCTTTGCTATGGCTTTTCGTTCTGACGCAGACGAGCTTAGCAATTGGCCCCACGGCTCACGCTGTGATCGGCAAGAAAAAAGTTTTAACAGTTGGATATTTGACGGCCATCAAGGGCGAACTGAAGGATCGGCAAGGTTTGGCCGTCTCTGGTGCCGTCACCATGGCCCTTAATGAGGTAATAATAGAAAATTAATACTTGATACAGATTTTGCACTATGGAGAATTGATACTCATATGGCATATTTTTTGTTGAATTATGACTCTTAATTTGCAATATAAAATGTTAATTTATGAATATAAAACCAAAAACATACTCAAGCCAATTTAGGTAGAAATTCAAGTATGTGTTTATTCCAATTGCTGGCTTAAAATCACAAGCATAATCTCTAACTGTGTCAAACATCATATAAATTCTATTAAATTTAACTACATGTTTCATTTCAATTTCTGAGAATTGAGTTAGAAATGAGTTAATTATCAATATAAATAGTGTAATATAAAATTCAATTTCAACGAAGCATGTCGGCTACTAGGTTAATTATTGAAATAAAATTTAGCGTTAGTCATATGTTAATGATATGCTAGATGTAAATACAGAAGCGTATAAACTGGCATTGAACTGTTGAAAAAATTCCATATTGAACGTTTTGTCAATATTTGTTAAGTTTTTACTGTACTTATAATTCGCGAAATAGATTTGATGTAAGGAAACCGATGGTTAGGCTTATTGGGAAGATTATTAATAAAACATTATTAATAAAACAAAAAGTTTTAGAAACAAGAAGTATTTTTTAAAAACTATTCTATAAGAGAGCAATTAAATTAATAGTTATTCCAAATCTACTGATGAGTATTTCTGACAAAGTACCAGATCAAGGTTATATATATACAGTGTTATCTTTGTCAAAAATGTGCCCATGCAATTTATATTTTGAATTGGTTGAATATTGTAGCTATTATTTTGTAAAATTCCTTTAAAATTAAAAATAAGACATTGGATCTGATTGGCCACTGGATGTTGCATTTTATCCTGGCTATGGTAAAAAGAGACAGATGACAAATTTTAGTAAAATAATAAAAAAACACATTTCTATAATTAGGAATTAACTCGAAACTTTATTGAACATAGTATGATAGTTTTTTGTTCGATACGTGTTATGTGATGTGATGTATTACATCTGGTTTAGATAGTATAATTACTTAAAATTAGATTGGACATTTGCGCTTTGCTCTACCGTGGCTCTACCATATACATATTTGATTTTAATTTAAATGATTTTTTGAAAATAAATTAATAATGCTGTACTTGAAATAAACTGAGGACAGAACTTCTTCTTAAACGTGACCTGATTATATTATCAATTTTATTTTTATTTTTTCAGATAAATAGTAGTCCCGATATTTTACCCAATGTAACCCTCGCCTTACGTTGGAACGATACCAGAGGCGACACAGTTCAAGCTACAAGGGCCCTTACAGAAATGCTTTGTGATGGCGTTTCGGCCCTGTTTGGACCAGAAGGACCGTGTCATGTTGAAGCTATTGTAGCTCAGGCGAGGAATATACCTATGATCTCTTATGTGAGTAGAATATACATATATACTTATATACAGGGTATTCCAGAATTTAAGGCCTTAGAAATGTTATTCATGGTTACCCTTCCACAAGTGATTCCCAAAGTGGTCCACGTGAAGACTCATGGCAAATCCCAAAGGGTCCAACACACAAAAAGTTTGGCAACCTTTGTTTAAACTCTAAACTAACAAAATAGCTTAACAAAATCATCAGTCTCATAACTTTCAAGCCGCGTGGGATTTTTTTTCTATTTTTTTTATAGTTACAATCAATACTGCCACCTCGTTTCAGCTTGACGTTGAGTTCAGACACACCCTGTATATTAATTTATAATGATGATGATCAAAAATATTAATTCCTCAATAAGTTTTAAGTAAAATCCAATTTTTGTCCTATTTCCACCAATAATTATATATTGTCCTCTCAGTATTGCGTAGTTGCGCTCCCGACAACAGAAATATTATTATAAAACTGTCACTCCGATTGAAACATCATTGTATGTGACGATGCCATTAGAAAAGTAGTTAAGAGTGAGTTGCTACTATTGTATTTTGTGTCGGTATGCGATTGCAAGTAAATTAAAATACGAATTTTAATGAGTCACATTACATTAGAAAATAACTCTTTGCCTGCGTTCAACACAATTGAAAAGTAAATATCTAGCTAGGAGCTAGATCGAAAACAAAAAAACGAACTATACCGAATACATACATACATGTATACTTTTACCATTTGTTCTCTTGTATGCAGTTTATGCTCATACATATTCAGACTTGCATATTTCTATATATGTATCTATTCTATTTAGTATATAGCATATAAGCAAATATTTTTCAAATCCCAGATCGAAAACAAAAAACGCTCTATAAATAACCTTAATGTACAATAGCATGTAATCAACCTATATGTAATGCATTCACTCTTCGCGCCTTTGAACTGATACATAAAACATTGTGTGAACTATAGGAGACGAAATAATAATAAAACAATAGCGATTGAAAAACGAGATACGAATGGTAAAGTTATAAATATATGTGCAGAATTATTAATAGATGATTTGACTTGAAGAGATAGATATTTTTTAATTTTTTTAAAAAATTTATTGGCCTCCGCTTTACAGCATTTTTAGCCACCTACATTATTCACATTATTTTTCATCATATTCTATACAATTCTTACATATATATTTCTTATACTATATACTATCTCTTCTTATATCCTAATCTTCCATTCAATTTTCTTTCTACAATTCCATTCAATTTTCATTCTTCTTCTTGTTTCTCAAAATGTTGTCATCTTCTAAACAAAACTTCTTTTTACCTTCTTACTTCTATTACAATTTTTTCTTATATTCTACAACCTAACAATTCTTAATCTACTTTAATATTTCATATTTTTGGTATTGCTGGAGATTCGAACCGAATTCCTCCAGCGTGTGAGTCGAGAATGCTACTGAGTGAGCTTATGATATGTTTTTCATCCTCTAAAATATTGTTTTTTTCAACATTTTTGTTTCTCTATCAAATCGGTGTTATTACCAAATAATAGATCCATATTCAAGACAATTTTTTTCTCCTTAGAATTTATTATTTATTCCAGCGTTTGTTTCTATTTCCCATAGAGTAATAACCTTCTAAGAGCATCGAGCACTTCAACTCAATTGCACAATATTGATTTAAATGTGCGTCGTGTTATTTGATGTCAAATTGATTTAATATCTATTGTTTAATTCGATTTGAATTGTCGTTCAATACTTTAAATTGCTTTGTGATATGCGATCAAAACATTTATATTGAGCTTAATGCAGATAATAGGTTGATCGGTTAACCTCACTTAGACTGCGTTGAACCCTTTTCGATTCTTAGTGAGAGAGCTGGTAGAAATATTTTCAGTCATAATATTAATGGAAATATAATGGTATTTAGATATATTGCAAGGAGGAGTTTAATACTTAAAGTTTTATGAATCAAAAATACATAGACTTACAAGGAGAACTTCAGGTGTAGTTGTCTGGGATTTTACTGTAACTTTGTATGATGATTATAGAGTTGATGGCGTAAAGTAAAAAAATATGCTGATAGTATTGATTTATTGACATTGATAGTATTTTCTGTCGACTGATGGACCTGTGGTTAAAGTGACAGACTCCCTACACTAAATAATTTTCATTTTTAATTATGTATTTATTTTATTTGAGTTCATAATTCTAGTTTTACATCATATTATTGCTCAGTTTAATTTAATTTGTCAACAGCGAAAAATAATTTTGTTATTGAGGACTTACTTAGGAGTCACGTGAGGCTTAAAGGGGGGAGGAGGCGTCTTGGCAAAAAATCATAAAATATCAAGTAAAATATTACGTGTATTTTCTTTTACCTGAATTTTAAAGAAATCAAAAATTTTCAAAAAAAATAAGTTTTTTTCTAGGTGCTAAAATGCACGTAATTTTTGGTGTAAGAGTGGAGGTAATTCCACCACGTATGACCAAGAGGGAGAGTGTCCAAAAAGTGAAGTTAATATTTTTTTATTTATTTTTTTATCTTATCAATTTGACCCTAGCCTTCATATTATTACTACCATGGGAGACTAGAAACTCAATTGTTTAACTCAATCCATTCGATTGCATTACTACGTTGATTCAATCATGACACTTACGCAACGTGCGAAACACATTGATATATTATAAGCATATTTATCAGGGCTGAACAAAGCCAGAGAAAGAATAATTTTGCAATATAAAATCATTGGTAATCATCATAGTTGATTAATTTATCTTTGTGATAATAAAACTGTGAAAAAACTATATATATGGTGCTTATACCTCAAAAATAACACACATGTAAATATAACATTAGTCTGACTTCACGCATGTTTTATTTATAGAGGATGTCCATTAATCACGGATCAATTTTTAAGGATTTTTGGACCTGTCTTTGCGTATTACGTCTCTTCTGCGATTAACTCAGGTTGTTAGGTTACAATTTAGCCTTTGTAGCTATGGATTGTATTAAACACTTATTTGTTGATATAATTAATGTATTTGTTGCAAGTTCTTATTACACTAATGATTTGTCATTAAGTTCTAATTGAAGAAGATATATTTATTGATTATTTATTACATATGTTGTTACGCGGACTTTAGTTTTAGAAGTGAGAAAAATATGTCCGATCCAAATCCGCTACACCCTCTACAGGGTAGTAACTATTCGGTGTAAAAGCTCAATGCCATGAAGGTTGTCGCCTTTATGGCCAATATAATGAAAATACATCCGAACAGGACCTTTCCTCACTTTTTGGACTTGTGATGATATTTAAAATTATGCTCTCCTGTACCAAATATCTCATGTATTTTTAGTACACACCTAGAAAAAAATGTGAAATCATTGGATTTTTTGGGAAAATTTGGGATTTTGTTCTTCCTCTTAATATGCCCACTAGTCTTGGAAAAAAACCAAAGGCAAATCTGAAAATATAAAAACGATTTCCATATTATCTTATAATTATTTCTTCTAATTAAATTAATCATTCAATAAACTGTTATTACAGACACTTTATAAATGAATTAATTAATCATTACCTTAGTTATTTTTTGCTCCAAACGCGTGCTTTGCATTTATATCTGCCCGGCATTCCAGATAAAACAAATAGTAGCGAACGATATTAAAAATTCTAAATATAACCTGCAAAGCGGTCTTGCAACGTTGGTCGTCAATTATCAACTAGTTGTAAATGAGATTTTTTTTCAATTTTATTGTTTTATGTAATCACCTTGTTTGATTATAGAAGTTACCAGTTTTATGTAATCACCTTGTTTGATTATAGAAGTTACCAGTTTTTGTACCATTTGTACGAGGATAGACGTAAACGCCCACGTTTGTGAGTAATAAATAGAAAAATATTGCTGAAATGGATGTAGCGGAATAATAATTTGACTAGGTGTAAGTGGTATTTTGCCTTAAGACAATTCGCATGAACCTCGAAAGAAATTTAGCTCTTTAGATAAAATTTTCAACTATTTATTTTAAACATAAAGTTTATTTGCTTTCACTAAAAAGTAATCAAAGTAATTTCCAATTGATATATTTCAAACAGAGCATCTCAAAGTTCTATCAAAATCGTCATAAAAACATCAGCAAGTTATTACGAAGAAACGACCTAGTAGATCCTTACCAAAAACTAACCAGCACCATTCATAACAGATATTTTTTCACCAGTTTTTGAATTTTTAACATCAGTTCTGAACTTTTGATAAAAACTTTTGCCCAGATCTGCTTATTCTAAAATACAACTCGATCTTCATCTCTCAAAACTAGTTAATTTGAGTTCAATTTATTGTCTTCAATATTTTTGAAATTAGTGCAGCCATTTTTCAAAAAAAAAGTCGAAGAAAGGTAAATTTTGGTACATTTGTTCATACACATATATACATAATTTTTTATATTTTGGTGTAAAACGATTGAGACGAACGAACTTGGAATATAGAGAGAGCATATAAGAGATAATAGAGAAAGAGCATATATGAGATAATAGAGAGAGAGAGAGAGAGCATATAAGAGATAATAGAGAGAGAGAGCATATAAGAGATAATAGAGAGAGAGCATATAAGAGATAATAGAGAGAGAGCATATAAGAGATAATAGAGAAAGCATATATAAGCATAATAAGAGATAATAGAGAGAGAGCATATAAGAGAGAATATAATCAACAAATTAGATTTTCTGGCTAAAACAAACTTTTAGGGATTTTTTACTTTACTTTAATTTTTGGGAAGGCAATTTTATGATGCTTAAAATGGAAAATATATGTATGCCTTACTCTACTTGAAATCTTATTATTCCTCTAATTTTTATTGCATTTTCTAGAATCTCAATTTAAAAATATTCTCCTCGGGGGATACCACTGTAAAGTATACAAAACTGTGTTTGGAAGTGGCAAAAACGCTGCCACTCGTAAAATTAGCAATTTGAAGTAGTTTCAAAATAAACTTTGGCCCCGAACTGTTTACGATTCTAAAAATAAATTTCGATAAAACGATCCATCCAGCGCTTGATAGTTGTCGGTACGTACACCTCTCATATGTTTATAATCGAAATTTTTTATTACTTCTCATTAATTATAGCAGCAGATATTTTATGAATCATAAATATTGGCTTAATTTTCGACATGACGGACAGCAGAAAGGTTTAATAAAATATTGGTTTTAAAATACATCAAGGAAAAGATTTTACAATATTTCCAGTATTCGAAAATTTCATGAGGTTGATTTGAACATTTTGATCATATGGTCTTTAAATCCTTATTTATCCCACAAGTCCCAGATTGAAATAAATTAATTAAAAGTACTTGGGGTGAAAAGAACTATTCCCAAATGATAAATAATTGCATTTAATATCTGATTAAGCATCATGGCATTATTTGCTTTAGGGTCAAATAAGCCAAAAATAGATTTTCAAGAACACATGAGGTCAAACTGTTGCATAAAGCGTGCTGTTTGAAATATTAATTAGACAAATGCCTAATTTATTGAGTTTTTTACTATTTTGGACTTTCCGAAGGAGAAGTTTATTTTGGCCAGAAAATCCATTTTGCTAGTTTTATGTTTTCTCGAAGTTTTAGGTCATGCTGAATTGTTTGACACCATGGTTGGACAAAGTATGCGAATATGTATGTGAAGTGATTGTTGAATAACAACAGATTGATTTTATTCAATACTATTTATTATTATTGAATATAAATGCAATTTATGTATTGGTCTGTTCTTGTTGACCGCCGAAGGTAGAAGAGGACTTTTGTCGTTGGTCTTTCCTCTTACGTTTAACAACAAATACATAGCATTTTGACCGATTCTACTAGCAATTTATATGAAGAAAAGACTATAACAAAGTGTTGCCATAGCAACGCTATGTTATGATTTATTTTAACGGAGAATTAGCCCCTTAGATGTAATATATGCGTAAATATATTCATTCACAGATGCATATGAAAATTCATATATAAAACATAAGGCATTATATAAAAAGTGTTTTTTCTACTAAGCTCGTTAAATTTAGTAGACTGACCCCTAACCAATCTTCTTAATTTCCACATCCCCCATTAATCATTCAATTAATTACATTTTATTGGCATAAAATTTGATATATGAATTTGTACAGCACGCCTATAAATTCTTATGATAGCAATCGCGAAGGCCGTTCATCAAAACAGTACATTTTTAATCTTCATTTTTTACGGCGGCCTCTGGGCTGCCGACGAAATTTTCAAAATAACTTACAAAACCTAACTCGCGTATAAATACCACACATTCGACTGTTTATATCATTATATAGTTCTATTTATAGAGAACAAGTTTCATATATGATACTACTCTCTTGATGTGTATAAGTCGGCCAGGGATAGCAAATTCGAGGGCCGGGGGGAAAAAAATTTAATAGCTCATCAATTTTAAAAAATCTTACTGCTAAGGATTCAGGTGAAATTATCCGTAACGTCAACGGTGTGAATGATAAAGATTTCCGATTTTTAAATTATTATTTGTTATTATATTTAAATTAAAATTTTAACATTTTTGCTAAAAATCCTATAGTGCAGATATCATTTTTGAATCACAACTTTTTCCAAATTTAAAAATGTGTATAATAAATAATAGGAACTGTAAGGGAGTATCGTTATTTTTGATTAATTAAAATCAAGCACATTCTATTAATTGTATTCCCATTATTATTCTAATTATATCTAATGATTATTCTAATTATATTCTCTTTCTTATAAAAATTAATTTAAATCTTTTTATTGGGTTTATTTTGGATTTTGAAAAAATTGATTTAATTTTATTTTTCTTTGTTATTATATGATTAAAACTAAATCTACGATAAATTAAAAGAGAATAAATATATTCTCTATTTTCTTTATATATAAAATTTAGGTTCATTCAAAATGAATTTAAAAAATATGAAAATTTAGAGTTTTTAGATTGTATATTTGATTTTGATACACTTCAATTTACTCCATACAGATTAATTAATTAAATCCAGAGAAATAATATGATAGGTCTATTTTATATTTTCTATTTTTAAATTAATAATGAATTTTTAAAATAAATTGAGTATTTCATTACACCCAAAAAATAATATCTGCTGCTCTCTATTTTCAATTTTTAAGTAGTTTTTCGAAATGTATTAACAGAATGGGTTTAATTAGATTTTTAAGCTTTGATTAGATTTTAGATCGCTTATGTAATTTCATAATTAAAAATAAATGTGAGTATATGAGTAAATAATTGGACCCAAAGAAATAAAATCTGCAGATTTATATGAATTCTATTTTCTATTTCTAAGTAGTTTTTCTAGAAATAAAATATTTGTTTATTTAAAATGAATATACAAAATGTAAACCCATTTTAAATATTTTAGAAAGTAGATTTGATTTTGCTCAAGATGAATCTTAAATTTTTGAGAAAGAAGTTTTGATTTTTGATTAAATGTAGAGTAAGCAATTTCATTTCAATAATTAATATCATGGTTTATTTTCTTTTTCTAAGTGTTTATATGAATAAAATATTTGTTTATTATTTTTTTATTGTAGGTTGGGATTTATAGTATTTTTTTAGAAATTGGCCATCAATGAAATTCACGCGTTTGTTCATAGCAATGTACTTGCCCTTCGAAAAGTTATACATATTCATAACTGTTCCTAAACTGTGGGTCGCTACTTGATACTAATGTCACAATTTTTATAAATAAATTCATAACAAATAAAATTTCTTATGATACAGAGCTTAGAATAAATAAGACATGAGTTTTATGTAAAATAGGAAAATCTAATTATATAAAAATTCATTCATTACTGAATGGAAAATATATAGTCCATTAAAAACTGCAATTAAATAATATTTCTACAATTATATTTATTCGTTTAATTTTAATTTACAACCTTTGCAAGCTTGTTTACTTTGTATATTTGAATTCTAATTATATTGTTTCAGTATATATTATAAACTTTGCATTCAAGTTTTCCTAACAAGGAAATAATTTTACATTATTTTATTTACTCTATCTTATGAATTTGCATTTTTGCCAGAAAAAGTTTTATGTGAGAGAACTTTATATAAAAGTATATGGTACAATTGTTAAATGTAAATTTATTTCTCAATAAATTTTTATCTTCCAAAACAAAGGCATGATTAGAATTCTAGAAACTCGTTTTATGGTTTTTTAAATCTCCAAATCAAATTAATAACTGTACTTGTATATCAAAAATTTTATTACACGGTCATTTAAATAAAAAATATTCAGCTAATAAATATGTTAAATTTTTTTGACAGTTTTATAACTAATAATTATAAATAATTATTCAAATTTCGTATTTAGGATCGCTGATTACTCAGCAAATCATAAAATTCTGAATCGATTACAACATTTGCCATAAAAACGATAAATGTCTGCAAACATTTTATTGCTATTAAATTCTTTGAGAGTTTCTGCAACAAAATATGTCGTTATCGTGAAACTAATAAAATCATAAATGGCTCACGGTTGATAATATTACAATTTGTAGAACATGTGAGAAATAATAAAATATTTATTTTGCACATATATTTTCTATAAAGCTAGTTTTATGCTGAGTAGTATTTAATTTACGATTTGTTTTTAATAATATACTTTGTGTATGTAGGTAAATGGTGGTTTAGAAATTTTGATCTTCATGATATACATTAATATACCAGGAAACATCTTAAGCTAATGCACTTGTATGATAACAATTTAGTACTATCATAATTTAGTGAACAAAATGTACATATCACTACATATATAAATATTTTAAATTATTAAGTCTAAACTAGCTATTTTTTACTAAATAGTATTTAATTTACTATTTTCTATTAAGAAAACTCGTTAGCTAATACACATGAGGGTAGTTCTGAAAAACTTCATTGCAGCTTTTAGCAGTATTCTTTTTTTTAAAAAAAAATATTACCTATACAAATAGATTTTCAAAGAATTGAGAAAATTTTTAATATTCAGATTTAAGTTCACCTAGGGTCCACCAAATAACTTTATTTTTTTTAAAATGTACTGAATATTTTCTCAAACTTCTTTTTTATTTGAAAGTACAATTCTTTCGGTTAATAATGGAAAATAATTTTATTCAAATGGCCGCCTAATTTTAAAATGGCTGCCAAAAATTCTTAATGGCTGCCAATCACTTTTGAACAAAATGTGTAACTATATAATTACATGCTGATATAAATTAAGTTGGTATAAGTATTTATTATAATTATCAAAACTATTTAAAAAAAGTTAGTTTTATCTAAATTTCTTCCATTTGGAAACTGCATAACGTTTGGTATCTAATTTAACATTTACCAAGTACGTTGATAATATGCGATTTAAAAGCACTTTACACAAAGATAACAAGTTAAAAATAGCATATATTATTACTATCATGAATAAACTATCGCGGCAACATTTAACAAACCCTATAACTATCTCATAACATTTTTTTTACAAAAACAAAAAAAAGTATCTACACATACAATCAACCACGTGGCGTGACTCTATTTATAGAAATGCGTGCAGTATATTTTCAACTTAAGTGAATGTATTATATATGTCTTGTTGTTATTTTTTTTCAGAAATGCTCCGATTATAAAGCGTCTTTAGTACCTACCTTTGCAAGGACAGAGCCACCTGACACACAGGTAATCTTATATTAATGACTAAGCTGTTTGTTTATTTTTAGTCTGTAATTACTGGTTTTAAAGTGCTTTGATAATGCAATATTATCGGCATTTGTGTCAATCGGATGATTGTTCTTTTATTCGTTTATTAGAGTATAAAAATTTATTTGGTTTTATTCAACTTTAATGGAACTGGTAGCAGAATTAACTAACTTGTTCAATTAACTCATTTTAATCAGAACACTTTATAAGTTGATAATTGCAAATCAAAAGTGTAACACTTATATTTTCAATTCAATTTTGCATATATTTATTATATATGTATGTAAAAAATAATGTATATGATCAAAATTCTTTGTATATCTTCACGTTTCAGTATTTTCTGAACAGTTTGGCATAAGGATGCTACAACGTCTATTGTCACTATTAATTCATTTTGTTAATTCGACTTTATTACCGAAATATGTGTATTAAATTCTTTAGGGCAGTACATCAAGTACAAATAAAAATATTTTATAATCTTTATTTTTTACTTTAGTTATTTTTGTAACTTAAAGTGTATGTAGAGACAATAAACGAGTAATTAGAGATAAGGTGTGTTAATAGAATTAGTAAATATTAATAAAAATTTTACTGATATACTCCTCTGGAGAATTGTATACGTTTATATACAATAATATAGAGTTTAATCTTTTATATCATGTTTCATTTTGACTCATGTGTATTTTCAATACTGATTGTTTATCAAGTATTACGTGTCCAAAGTTATTTTTGTTGTTTGCACGTGCAACAATATTATTGAGCTTACTTTTATTTATGAATTATTATTTGTATATAACGATGCCAATTATTACAATCTTACAATTTTTGTCAAAGAACTCATATTTCTTACCAGGTGACGAAATCCGTGATTTCCTTACTCCGATACTATAACTGGCATAAATTCTCTGTGATCCACGAACATCCTTGGGAAAATGTTGCTCAATCTTTGGAAGAGCAAGCCAAAACTTCCAATCTGACCATTAATCATATGATAGCCGTCCAGGATCCTCATATTTGCTGTGAAAAAAATTTGCCTTGCTGCCAGAGCGGTTATTGGTATCAAGTCATACAGGATACCAAGGACAGAACTCGCAGTAAGTTAATAATAATAATAATAATAATTTTTAAAGAATTTGTACAATGTTAAAGGAAATTTGTACAAGTTAAGTGTTTTAACTTCCCGAAGGAGAAGTTTATAGGTTTCGCCAGAAAATCCAGGGAAAAAAAATTGGCAAAATTAACTTTATTTTCTCAGTTAGTAAACCTTTTTAAATGTTTAGGAAAGTTAAATTTATTTTATTTACGTTGCACTGCATGCTCAAATCAATTTTAATATTAATCTCGATAAATTAATTTTAACATTGATTGATTGATAAGATGTATAAATTATAATAATCCTATGTTTTGAATTAATTAGAAATTTAGTAGGTAATCGAGTCAAACGACGCGGAACGATTTAATTAATAATATTCATGAAATATGATGTATAATAGTATCAACCATCGTGCTAATTAGAAATTCTATTTGTAACATTTATGCTAGTCTGCATTTTTGTTTTCCATAAAGTAATATTAGTTATTTTGTTAAAAATATTGAGCAAATTTGCATAAATTCTATGCGTCGAGTTATTTATAGACTTTTTGTTCTATTATCAATACCTCAGACAATTGTTATCGTTATTTACCTGTAGCAAATTCTATAGAATGTTTTGTTCAATTTTGTTTGAATGTAAATATTAATAAAATAAATATATTTGCTTCTAAAAATAATTAAACTCAAAGAGTTATTTACATGGTTTGTTGATTCAGTGTGCCTTTGTTTTATACCATGATTCCGCACCTGTAATTTTTACTTTTGCCTTTTTATCAAACGAGATAATATTAAGCTTCCAGCGTTATTATAGATGATTTTATTACAAGTTTGTAGATTTTCAAAATGTGTAATCTTCGAAATTTATGGTCCAGGATTAAGATAATAGTTATAAGCCTTGCATGGTCGGATTAATAATAAATTCCACATTTATGAGGCTTGCGTAATGTTGGATCATCATGGTTCGACGTTTTAATAAATTTATAAGATAAAGCTGGGAATATTAAATAACTCTTTATGTTGATGGCAATTTAACTGTGATATAATATATTCATCACACGTCCATATTTTACCTCCGTTTTTATTGGACTAGAAGAGAGATTGTGTAAATTAGAGCTTTTTATGAGGTTTCCTATTTTGTGAGATTGATTTTTTTCTTGTGACTGATTTCTTATACTTCAAAGTATACTATCATGGAACTTACAGAAGTTTGTTTTTGCTAGATTTGTTCATTTTATCTTCTCTCGACGGTTCAAGTATCTAATTTGTAAAAAGTATGCATTTTTGTATGACCGTAGGTGAGCCAAATAATGACCTTTCGTCAATGTTTTCTCTAAAACAACTGCCATGATTTTAAACATTTTAAAACCATTCTAAATAGGTTCAGCTATTTCTTTATAATTTGCAGGAAAGTGCAAAATTTTTCCTCCACTTTTTTGCAAAAAAACCTAAACCGATTCTAAGAATTTTAACCTTTCGAAAGATATTAGTTAGGAATCATTCTGATTAGTTTCTGGTAAAGATTTGTCTAGCCGTTTCTTCGTAATTAATTGTTTTGGTTTATATTTGAGTTAGAGATCATGATTTAAACGAACATCCTAAAATCCTACGAAAAATGATTATTAAAAATTACTACAGTTTGGAAAAATGGGTCATGTTAAAATTTCTTGCTAAATCTCAATTCTTGTAGATATAGTCAATCAGTTACATATATAGGGAAGACCATGCAACTTGCCTCAAGGAATATTTCCACTTGCATCAAACTTTTATCCATAATTTCTTGCTAAATCTCAATTCTTGCAGATATAGTCAATTAGTTACATATATAGGGAAAACCATGCAACTTGCCTTAAGGAATATTTCCACTTGCACCAACTTTTCTAGGGAAGACCATGAAACTTGCCTTATGGAATATTTACACTTGCACCAACTTTTGTTTCTTCATAATTTCTGGTTTATTATATTGCACCATATTTTGGGTATTCAGATTAAGTTTCTCTATTGAGGTTATTCTCCACAACTTTGTCTAAAGAGTTGCTAAAATTTTAATAAAAAAAGTGAAATAAATAATAAGAGTCTTGAGTCTTATTTCTTGAGATTCTTTTGGTACATCACTTGCTATACATTTGGTTTTCGCAAATTTATTTGTTGTTTTAAACATTATTATTTGCTAATATTAATAATTAATTTGCTAACTACTGAGTTGCCTTCTAATTTCCACCTGTTAAATTAACAAATAACTTTCTGAATCTTTATATAATAATAGGCAGATTGTGATTCAAATATAAATAAAATATATGTTTTTTTCTCGGATGTTGGGATATTTTTTAAATTTTAATTCATCATACTAATTTCAGTTTATGTGTTTCTCGGCACCTCGAAGGCTTTGGTAGATATGATGAACACAATGGAGTCTGCACAATTGTTCGAAAATGGAGAATACATGGTTATTTTCGTCGATATGATGACCTATAGTCCTCGAGAGGCTAAAAACTATTTATGGAGTGAGTACACACATTATTGTTATTCAAATCATGATGGTAAAATACTCATTTGATATACATAAATAAGCCTCATCATTAGCTAAATGTAAGGTGACCATATTTTTCTAAGTCAAAACCGGGACGGCAATATTTAGTTATGCTAATCCGGGGGTATATAATAACAGTTTTTTTATATAAATATTTTTTGTTTATAATAATTGCGGACTTTTAGGAAGAACTTATTATTCGATTATATATCATATTTTTTGTTTGTTTTCATAATTTTTGTTAATTCATCTGTTAAAACCGGGACAAAAGATTTAAATCCGGTACAAATCATGCTTTTAAAATAACCCGGGACACAAGGTGGAAATCCGGGACTGTTCCGGCTAATGCGGGAAGTTGGTCACCTTAGCTAAATGTAATTGTTTTGTTTTTTATAGGTTCAGAACAATTATTAAAGAAAGCATCCTGTTACGAGGAACAGGGTTTTCAGAAACGTGCCAAAAGTTTACTAGTCGTCGTTTCAACGCCTCCAACTAAAAACTACGAAAGTTTCACTGAAAAAGTGCGAGAGTTCAATGCCAAGGATCCATTTAATTTTTCAACGCCGACGCTGTTTGAACAGAAAAATTATATACAGGTGGATAGTTAACAAACCAATATATCTGATCTCATGTGGTTTCTGCAAAATGTCTATTTCTCTTACAGTTTGTGTCGATATACGCCGCTTATTTGTACGATTCGGTGAAATTGTACGCGAGAGCGCTGAATGATCTGTTAAGCAGACATCCTGTGGTCACGGATGAAATAATCGATGAAGTTGCCAGTAACGGTACCGAGATTATTAAGACAATAGTCAACTATGGTACTTATATAAGTGAGTAATATAATCTTTTTTATTTTATTTAAAAAAATTAGTTTGTTATTTTAAAGAAATTCATACGAATTATTAATATAATATTAATAAAAGGTAGTTCCTCGTTGGGGTCAAATGGCAAAAAAAAAATTAAAAAAATGACAATTTTTCCTGTCTAGTAATTCTTCTGCATGATGCTTAAAATCTCATAATTTCTGTCGTTTTCTGTCCCTTTTTACCTTAAGTGACTAATAAGTTTGACTTAAATGATCTATTAAGGTTTTTTTGCAGAAAATAGCAGTAATTTGCAAACTATTCTCAGATATTCAGTTGCAAAAATGTTACCAATTGCAGATTACCCAAAGGATATGGGGAGTAAATATGTTTTCAAATTACTGCTGAATTATACAAAAAAAACTGATAGATCATTGAAGGTGTAAAGGGCCAGAAACGACAGAAATTAAAAGATTTTAAATGTATATGAGTTGGTAGATCAAACATGTTGTCATTTTTGTTATTTTTCTCATTTTTTGTAGTTTGACCCCCAATTTGACTTTAGATTTGTCTTCAGCGGTAAAAACCACATTGGGAAACATATGTCGCACACCCAATTCAGACAACTTTTTTGTGGAGCAGTGTTATTTATTATATTTGTTAGTTTAGAAGGAAACTGAACAGAATAACATAGGGATCATATTAGTAAGATTTATTAGGAATTTGAAGACTATATTTGAAAAATATCTAACAGAACTTAATGGCAATTTGGATAAAAATATTATAGTATACAAATTTTAAAAATAGTTTATTTTTGAAATACTTACACTATTTCTAAGTTTAGTTAATTGACCTTGCTTGTATAGTGTTTCATTTTATATCCTAAATCATTGTTATTTTTTACTTCATGTTATTTTTTCACATACATTATATTTATTTCCATATCATTCTATTATGCACTTTGTTAAATTTTTTACCAACTTCATTTTTGAGCAATTTTTCAGGATATTTTTGCTTGGTAGCATATTCATTAGATTAGATCTATATTTTCAAGTAAAAACGGTTATGAATATACTTGTTTATCTATGACTATTACTTGATATAAACCAAGGTTTTTAACCTCATACACCACGTACTAATACCATAAGTTAAAAAAAGATAAAAAAAATATGTCCAGTCTTATTAAGATATATATTTATTTGATTGATTCTTCTTCCCAGGTGTGACTGGAGCGACGATAAGACTGGACAAAAATGGTGATTCGGAGGGCAATTTCTCTGTCCTGGCATTGAAGCCCTTCAACCTGACCCTGAGGGACGGCGGGACCAACTTTACCTGTGATCACTCAATGATTCCTGTTGGATATTTCCTGTCGACGCACACCGGCGGCGCCAGCGATTCATATCCGGTGCGTGGGAAACACCGGTAACATTCGGTCGTTTATTTTTTTCTTTTCTATTTGGTATTAAAAAAAGAATTAGTAACATTTATCAAAATCTAGTAACAATAATTAATAGATTAATTTCGTAGCAATAATGAAAGATATTATAATTTGTGACGAACATAATTTTATTTTTTCAGACGCAAATTCAGCGTATTGGCGGCTTCTTAAATGTGATTTATATGTTATAAAAATCTTTTTGGACGTAAAACATATAAGTCATATTTAAGCAGCCGCCAAAATATAAAAATAAAATTATGTTTGCGTACAAAATTTTTATTAATATTATATTTAATAACTGGTCCGCCAAATAACCTTTTTTGGTATATCTATAAAAAAACACTGAATATTGTCTCAAACTCATTTTTTGAAAGTACAATCCTTACGGTTTGTTTTTTGTTTGAAAATAACCCTCTTTAGGCCTTTTGGTGTGAAATGGCAATGGGATCTCTTTTTGTTCTTTCCTGAATCGAGTTTATTTTAACTCACCCTCTTATAATAGTATATTATATTTTATGGCTATATAACCATGGTCTATATTCTATAATTGGAATATATAGATGAATGTTTATATTTACTTTATACATTCTGGCTAGGTTCCAAACCTTTGTTTAGTGCACAAAAATCTGTCCAAAATACTTACAATTAAATAAGTATATAATATATATTATATATTTAAAATTCATGCTGCAAATTATATGCTTTTAGTTAGTAAGTACTGATATATAATATTTTTTGTTATTAGTAAATTAAAATTATAATTCGAATCTTAATTAAATGCATGGCTTTTCTATGAAAATAACCAATGATTATGATGGTATTATTTTGTTAAGTTTATTGACATTTAAATAATTTAATAATAATTTTTCAATAATGATAATCCTCACATTCAATTTTCAATGAAGTAAAAAATTATGGTCGATGATAATATGAATATATCATCAATTTATTTGAACTATAGACTTTTCTACAAAAATCTGGAACACAGATGGAAATATGGAACTTTCCAGCTCATCCAGGACATTTGACCAAATTATTGCAATAATTTTCATTTTATTCCATACTTTTTTGTTTGAAAATATTTTATTAGCTTTTCTACGTATCTTTTTTACTTTACCTTACGGACGTAACTTCTTTGGTCTATTTATGAGTAAAAAAGATCAATCCTTTCATAGTGTCTTTTGAATGTCGTTTGATATTTTCCTAGTTTTACTATTATATGACGTCTATACCCTTGGATATTTAATCCGATTAATTTAAAATCCTCCCACACTTATTACGTTATCAAATCAATACCAAACTCATCGTGAACTTTATATTTATAAATTCAGGCTTATCAAATCAACCGACGTCTTCTGGTGGACTGGCCGAATGGTGTCCGACCTGAGGATGAACCTTCTTGCGGTTTCCTGAACGAGCAGTGTCCAAAAGACGATTCTCATGTGAATAGTTTAGTTGCTGCAGGAGCCCTGGCGGTTACTTTATTCTGCACCAGTGTTATTATAATGAGTATTTATCGAAAATGGAAGATTGAACAAGAAATTGAAGGTCTGCTGTGGATGATAGATATACATGAGATACATGGATATTTTGGGAATGATATTGTGTCGTCACCCAGTAAGGTTAGTGGAAGTTGTATATTTGCATCTACAAGAGTTATATTCTGAGTCACCAAAAGACTTAATCGTTCAGCAATGGTATGCTTATTCCAACGTGCAGAATTTAGCTACTGGTTCTATTCAGTTATTTGAAATCTTTTAGAGTTTTCTTCAAATTCATTGGACTCTATAGTTGCTTCAAGATTTTTACTGAATTTCAATTTAACAACTGTTTTAACCCATCCACTTGTTTTTTTTATAGTGTTATCAATATGTGTATAAAATTTCTCCAATAAATCTTTATTACCAATGTTTCTTTTTTCCAGTTATCTCTAGCAAGTGCGGCATCGTTCGGTTCACGTTGCAGCAATCAATTATTTACTGCAACTGCAAAATTCAGAGGTGTAGTTGTACGAGTCAAAGAGTTGAAATTCTCCAAAAAGAAAGATATATCCAGAGAAATAATGAAGGAGATGAGGCTCCTTCGTGAACTGAGACACGACAATGTCAATTCGTTTATTGGAGCTTGTGTCGAACCCATGAGGGTGCTACTGGTCACTGATTATTGCGCTAAGGGTAGTCTTTATGTAAGTGAAGTAATTGTAGTAGACATAATTCATATGTGAATCTATTTGATTATTTATTATAATTTATTTGCTTCACCTGTGTGCACGAGTGTCGTCTATGGACGACCACCAGACTAGATGCTGACTTCTAGTTCTAGTTTTGGCATTCTGGGTTAAATTATTGAGAATTCTAGTTTGTTATAATACTATAGTATTATAGAAGTATATATTTTTACTAAATGTGGTTTATTAGCTCGTACAGTAGTATCACTTCTGTATAAAAATTTCAATTTAATTAAAATTTGGAATAACCATAAAGTTTCAATCGTTTTAAAATTAACTTATTAAGAAGATTATTATTTATTTAGATAAAACTTTTTTTTCTATATTAACTATATAAAATTCATTAAAATATTTTTATTTATTCATGTATGAATTTTTTTTTGCAGGATATAATTGAAAATGAAGATATAAAATTAGATGAAATGTTCATAGCATCATTAATACACGATTTAATTAAGGTGAGCACAATTAAAGCACAATTTAATCAAGAAAATTAATTTGAATAATGTATTTATATTGATATTAATATATATTATTTATTTCTAGGGAATGCTTTACATTCATGCTTCTCCTTTAATTTGCCACGGAAATTTAAAGTCTTCGAATTGTGTTGTAACATCACGATGGATGTTACAAGTTGCAGACTTTGGTCTGCACGAATTGAGACATTGTGCAGAAAGCGATTCAATAGGCGAACACCAGTATTATCACAGTAAGAAAATATATATAACTTAATATTAATAATACTATTCTTTATACTATTTTATATTGATCTTTTGCAGATTTATTTTGGAAAGCTCCAGAATTATTGAGAAGCCCGATGCAAAATATCCGCGGCACTCAGAAAGGAGATGTTTATAGTTTTGCAATTATTTTATATGAAATTCTAGGTAGAAGAGGGCCTTTTGGTTGCTCCTCGCCTAGAGAACCTAAAGGTAACTACATTTAGGAAAAAAATCAACTTTTATTTGATTATTTCATTTGTTTATTTTTATTTATAGATATAATAGAATTAGTCAAAAATCCAGTCACACAACTGAGGCCTGATGTATCCTTGTTACGTGAAGGCGATTGTTGTGCAGACTATATTTTAGCTGTGATGCAGGATTGTTGGAATGAAATTCCTGATCAGAGGCCTGATTTTACCTCTGTACGCGCCAGACTGAAAAAAATGCGCGGGGGAAAGTCAGTACTTCATTTATAATCATTATAAATTCAGATTTATAGACAGGTATATAGATAAACATATAATATATTTGTAGATCAAGAAACATTATGGACCAAATGATGGAAATGATGGAAAAGTATGCTAATAATTTAGAAGATATTGTCAGTGAGAGAACGAGATTGCTTTGCGAAGAGAAGCGTAAAACTGAAGACTTACTTCATAGAATGCTACCAGAGTAAGTAACTATATAGTTAAATAAAGTGATGTTATATATATATATATATATATATATATATATATATATATAATACATATTTATATAGTTTTGTATATATATATATATATATATATATTTATATTATTATTATCATTATTATGATTTATTCCCAGGCCAGTAGCTGAAAGACTGACCAAAGGCCACGGTGTCGAACCAGTATCCTTTGATTCTGTGACCATTTACTTCAGTGATATCGTAGGATTTACAGCAATGTCGGCAGAAAGTACGCCGTTACAAGTAGTCAACTTTTTAAATGATCTCTACACTGTTTTCGACAGGATAATTAAAGGATATGATGTCTACAAAGTGGAAACTATTGGAGATGCTTATATGGTGGTAAGTGGATTATTGATAATTCTTATTTTTATCAAAAACCAAGTAGCAAATTAAAGTAAAAGGATTGCTGTTTGAATATAATATTGCTGTCTTCCATCTATAACAAAGGTTCATCGAATACTTTTTGAACTCAAAACATTTGAGTAATCTATTTAATAATTTATTAATTAGTCATGCTTGTTATAAATTATATATTGGATGGAGGGAGAATGAAATCATTGATTTTTTTATCATAGATTGAAAAGAAATACATTTTTAGGTAGCCAATATATAGAAGTTGAAGACTTTGCTAAGTCTGGCGTTCGTTTTAACAGTAGAAGGGGCGCGCCTTGTTATAAAGTTCTTATAAAAGTATTATTTCAGTTTCAATCCTATATCTTTTCCAATAATATATATATATATATATATATATATATATATATATACAACATTGTTCATTTCAATATTTTATGCCTGGAGATTACTTAATTTGAATTATATCATTATTGAATGCATGGATTTTATTTAATTTGAATGATATCAAGTTGAAACCATGATATTAGAATTTGCCTATTATATCTATTTACAATTATTTTTTTATTTATATGATTTATAAATAATTTCTATTACATATTTCGTTTTTAGGTATCTGGTTTACCAATAAAGAACGATGATAGGCATGTCGGGGAAATTGCATCAATGTCCTTAGACTTACTTGCTGCCGTAAGAACACATCAAATATCACACAGACCTAATGAAACACTTAAATTACGTATTGGAGTTCATACAGGTAATATATCTAATTAATTTAAGTAATCAATTCATTTTTAATTTGACTAATTTGGTAATCAATTCATCAGCAATTTGTTTGGCTAATCATTAAGATAATTAATTTAGTACTTAGTAGAATAATTTATTATTGATTCTTATGACTACTACTATATTAAAAAAGGTACAATTAATTGATTGAAAGTTTTCTTGTGCTTTAATAATTTGGCATCAGTTTAATAACATAATATTTGTTCTTAAATAAAATGTCAATTTTAATTATTTTTTTAGGGCCTGTGGTTGCCGGTGTTGTGGGTTTGACCATGCCACGGTATTGCTTATTTGGAGACACCGTAAATACGGCTTCTAGAATGGAAAGCAATGGTGAACCTTTGAAAATTCATGTATCTCCTCAATGTAAAGCTGCCTTGGATAAATTGGGTGGCTATGTGACCGAGGAACGTGGTTTGGTGCCCATGAAGGGAAAGGTCAGTCATTAATTTTAATTGTCATAGTACCAATTGTATATAGTTATCAATATTTTTTCTCTTTTTAGGGTCATGTACTGACGTACTGGTTGGTGGGAGCAACTGAAAAGGCTATTCAAAAACGTGATGTAGATTTAGGTGAATTACCTCCATTGTTTTGTAGACCAAGGCGTAGTCCAAAATTAGCCAGCGATTCACGACGTCCATCTTTAGTTGGTGAGTGCATCTAAATATATTTAAGTCTTATAACTCACTATTTTCTAACAAATTTCTTTTACCCCAGGATCCTGCAGCCGTCGTCAATCAATAGTTCCGCGCGGAAGCAGCATTAGTTTAAGCGTGACAAATGCTTCTACAGTTTCTAATCGCCGAGTAGATCGTGCTCCCCTTTATCTATCTGGAGGCGGCCAAACTAACGCTACACATGCCTCCAATAACAGCACGGAGCAGCAATCACGATCGTCATTACCACGTACTACCGAGGAAGTTTTGTGGGAAAAAGAATCTCGACCTACTAATAGAACCACCAAGCGTTTAAGAGAATCTCGATCGTTGGATCCATTCCCTGTTTTGGGCACTAGGAGGAGGTCAAGTTGTCCTGCTGCTGCTGGTTGTGATAGGCCAAGTGCATCGAGGTCTTTGGAGAATTGTAGACTGACTGCATTGAGTGGTAAGTAGTAATAAAAACTAGTTGTAAAAAATGTAAGAGTCAAGTAAAAGTTTATGTATAGTTATGCAATTGTTTCTTTGGAAATATTATTTGTAGGTGTAAGTAATTTGATATATTTCATTTCCCCCCAGGGCGTCGAAATTCAGCTAGGAGAGATTCTTCCGGAGGTCGTTGCCAAAATGGTAGTGCAGTGGTTCTTCAATCCCAAGACGACCAAGATCAGGATCCAGCCAGACCTTTACTATCCCAGTCTGCACGTGTCGAAATCGCCTGGGCTGCAAAGAGGTGGCGGTCGCTCGAAGCAGTCTTACCAGCCGCTGCTGCGGTGGCAGCTGGCAACCAGGATGGCAGGAAACCACCTACCAGAGCTTCTTTAAGGAACTGGCTGTTTGGTTTATTTGGAGGAAACGGATTCAGGAATAGCGATTTGTCGCTTAGGAAGGCTGTGCTTACAGGATACACGGATATGCAACCTGAAAAGGAAAGCATAGTTTGAGATTTTAGTTCTGGGGTATGTAGGCTTGCAATGTGCATGCTCTTAATTTCTGTTATTGTGTTCGGTTCAGGTGATAGATCCATATTAATTGAGGATTAATTACATTTTTTACAATGAATTTGATAAATCTAATTCAGCGTCAAAAATCTTTTCACAAATAAATCATATACAAAATTATATACAATACGCAATATACATACAAAATTTCTTTACAGAATTTACCAAGTTTTAGATTACCAACATTGTTACATTTTTAGCTAGTCGATGCATTTGAATTAGATTTATCAGAATTTTATTTGGGACTAATTTGTATTGATTTCATATTGAAAGGCACATAAATTAATTCTCCTAAAATAAATTGAACTTGAATCATTCAAATTTTATATAATTTCTATTTTCAAACATTGAATTTTATACAATTTCTGATATTATCTAAAAGATTCAATTAAAATCATTTGTTTACAATTGATTATCCACAGTTTTATGCAAAATGTAATCTATTGCAGAAATTATGAACTAATATTGATTTGCTGTAATATCATTGATACCAGTTTTAATTATGTAAATAATGTTGCGAATGAATAATAATAATGAAAGAAAGGTTGTTTGCATGTGAGTAAATATAGAATATATAGATGTTTTTAATTAAAATCTTATTTGAACAAATTTTATTTATAAATGTATTTTTTAAAAAACATGGATATAATTCCACGGAACTAAAAAGTGCCATTCTGTAAAAATGACAGATTAATAAGAGCTGGAAAATATATTTGGCGTTTTATCAAAACTGTTGTAATTATGTATTTATTATTATTAATTTTGTTATCATAAATGTGTAATCTTTACTTTGAAACTAATAAGAATCTGTATTACTAAATGTGAAATTGTTCCTAAAATTTTAAGTCAGTCATTTTAAAGCGCAATTTTTAGTCTTGCAATTTTTTTTAAACAACTCCCATAAAGTGATAGAAAATTAAGAATCATATTACTATGTGTAAATAATTTGTATAAAGTTTGTGTGTGTGTTATGTTAAATGTTGCTTCATATATATTATTATGTTGTATACTTTAATTATTGATAAGAGTGAGGTCCTAAACAAAATTCATAGTCATTAGAATGTTAGAAGGATCTTGAGGTCTTGAAGACCTCTGAAATATGTTAATATATGTGTATATATGCATATATTCATCTATATGTGTACGTTTATTATTCACTATTCCATATTGTTTATATTTAAATGTAAAAGTATGAAGCCATAGTTTATGAATTATTGTGATATTGTACATCTGCTATATTTTATATATTATATAATATTTGGATATTAAGAATGAATTTATTTTCCATTCTGACACTTGATATGAATAAATTTATATGCCATAATAGCTGCATTCTTAATTAATACTTGTGTTATATATATATTCAGGCGAACTAGTTCATGGTTTCAACTTGATATCATAATCAAGTCAAATGTGTTGGAAAGAATCCGTGGATAGTAGTCCATGGATTGAACTTGATATCATTTCCCATACAAAAGCCAGCTAGGTCATATATAATAATGTATAAATCAATATATACATTTGTATATCCATTTCCCATACAAACTAAGGCAGCTAGGCCATATATAATCGTGTATAAATCAATATATACATTTATATATCCATTTCCCATACAAATTAAAGCAGCTAGGCCATATATAATAAAGTAGAAATCAATATATACATTTATATATCCATTTCCCATACAAACTAAGGCAGCTAGGCCATATATAATCATGTATAAATCAATATATACATTTATATATCATTTTTCTATATAAACCAAGACAGCTAGTCCATATATAATGATGAAAAAAAAAACAATATATAAAACCGTGGACAGGATTTAATTTGAAATATTAATACCGTTTGAACTGTCAAACGGTCGGTGGCGACATCTAACACAGAACCATATGAACCCGGTAGTCACTACGTAGTTCCTCACGAACTGGGAACAATTTTGCATAGAGGCGCTGCATGCAATCGCCTTAGAATCATAGGAATCTTATTGGATTCCTTTTCACGCAAGAACTGTCAAACGTTAGTTCCTCACGAATTGGGAACGATTTAGCATAGAGGCGCTGCATGCAATCGCCTCTATGAACCTAGAAATCTTATTGGATTCCTTTATAGGCTTTTATATATAATTATGGTCCTGGCTTAGGAGTAATATCAATATATACATTTATATATCGCTTTATACAGCATTAGATATATAATTATTGTACCGGTTTTGAAGGAATATCAATATATACATTTATATATCGCTTTATACAGCATTAGATATATAATTATTGTACCGGTTTTGAAGGAATATCAAAATATACATTTATATATTGCTTTATACGCCTTTAGATATATAATTATGATCTTGCCTTAAGAGAATTATCAATATATACATCTCTATATCTTATACGCTACTAGATATATAATTATGGCCCCGGTTTGAGAGGAATGTCAATGTATATATATATATATATATATATATACATATACATATATACATACATTTCCCATACAAGCAAAGGCAGCTAGGCCAAATTTAATCATGTATAAATCAATATATACATTTATATATCCATTTTCCATACAAACTAAGGCAGCTAGGCCAAATATAATCATGTATAAATTAATATATACATTTATATATCCATTTTCCATACAAACTAAGGCAGCTAGGCCACATGTAATAATGTATAAATCAATATATACATTTATATATCTATTTCTTATACAAACCAAGGCGGTTAGTCCATATATAATGATAGAAAAAACAATATATAAATCCGTGGATAGCTTTTTGTTCTTTCGATGTCGGCTCTTCCTATCCCTGGATTCAACTTGGCGGTAGTTCCTCACGACTTGGGAACGATTTTGCATAGAGGCGCTGCATGCAATCGCCTCTATGAATCTAAAAATCTTATTGGATTCCTTTATAAGCAATTATATATAATTGTGGTTCAGGCTTAGATGAAATATTTATATATATATATTTTAATTATATATTATATTTTATAATTTTATTATATAATTATATATTATAATATATTTTTAATTAAAATAAACTTTCTACATTCGACGCATTGGCTGTTTTATTCATTTCAATATGTTCAACGTCGAACAAAAAATCCTAAAGACATATATATATATATATATATATATATATATATATATATATATATATCGAATTTTCATATATAATAAGGCAGTTACCTCATATATAATGATGGTAAAAGCAATATATACATTTATATATTTATTTCCCATACAAATTAAGGTCTTGTATAATGATTCATGTAGATATAGTTGTTGATTCTTTAGTAATTGACTAAGATATTGACCAACACTATCCTTAATTTTTTTTATCAATTTTTAATTATTTATCATGCCTAATTACTAAGAATACTAATACTTTCAATTAAAAAGTGTCAAATGCTATAATTTTTATAATTTATAACTATTATTTATATATTTCAAGCAATATTTTAATGTTTATTTAAAATTTATTGAAAAAATAAACTAAAATACTTAATAAATTTCCTTGGAGATTCGAACTCGAAATCCAAAAACGAGAACAATCGCCATTGCGACCGAAGCCATTTAACAGCCTCGTCCATTTCACCACCTGTGAAAAAGTGATTGATTTTGGTACATGTGTGAACAATATCTTCACATACCTCCCTCGCCATTTAACTTGTTAAAAAACCCCATATGCACCCTTCGGATTCGAACCAGCCTCCTTCTGATTAGAATCTAGTTTAGCGCTCCAACCGTCTCGGCCACGGCGACGAAGAGTTTCGCCTGCTAATACTGGAAGGACATTCTTCGACGACTGACCATCATGATTCAAGTCAAGGTCACAGGGGGATGATATGAAAAAATTAAATTTTCACCTAGGGGGTTGAAAGTGGGCTCATTCGATTCTGCTGGTCCTTGCGAATTTCAAGCGGGGGGTTACAGGGGGGAAAATTTTGTCCGTTTTTCGCTCAGGAGAGCAGAAAATCGACTTTTTGTAAATTTTACGGTTTTTCTATGGGAATTTTTGGGGAGATTTTGTGCTGACCTTGTCGTGGTCAAGGTCAAGGTCAAGGTTACCTTGAAAACGCAAAAATTTTTCAAAAGGCGTTTTCAAGGTAACCTTGACCTTGACCACGACAAGGTCAGCACAAAATCTCCCCAAAAATTCCCATAGAAAAACCGTAAAATTTACAAAAAGTCGATTTTCTGCTCTCCTGAGCAAAAAACGGACAAAATTTTCCCCCCTGTAACCCCCCGCTCGAAATTCGCAAGGACCAGCAGAATCGAATGAGCCCACTTTCAACCCCTAGGTGAAAATTTGATTTTTTCATATCATCCCCCTGTGACCTTGACTTGAATCATGATGGTCAGTCGTCGAAGAATGTCCTTCCAGTATTAGCAGGCGGAAACTCTTCGTCGCCGTGGCCGAGACGGTTGGAGCGCTAAACTAGACTCTAATCAGAAGGAGGCTGGTTCGAATCCGAAGGGTGCATATGGGGTTTTTTAACAAGTTAAATGGCGAGGGAGGTATGTGAAGATATTGTTCACACATGTACCAAAATCAATCAATTGTACACCAAATGAAGGAGGTCGTTAAATGGCTTCGGTTGCAATGGCAATCGTTCCTGTTTTGGGTTTCAAGTTCTAATCCAGAAGCAAATTTATTGAGAAATTCAAATGAACATACAAACTTCTTCAAGTTTGACTTATTAAAATAAATAAATTAAAAATCCATGTTATTTATGGTAAAATTGGTGTAATAAATAAGTTGAAAAGCCATTTCAGATTTTTTAGCATAATTCGTAACTATTATTTATATATTATGAGTAGTATGTGCATATAGCACACGCTTTGAAATACTGCTTTTGTAATACTTCTGTCAGGTCTATCAGAACCTCATTAGTCGTATCTTTTCTTGGTGTAGTGGTCGTCGTCACATCACTGGTCGCCACATCTTGATTCTTGGGATTGCTGACTATCGGAAGTAGAAGGAAGGTAAGTTATAGTAATCATTATTATATTGTCTAGGATAGTAATTGTCAAAAGCATGATGTTTATTGTGTACTGTAATTTTTTAAAAAAAAAATCTGTATACCCTCCCCAAATTATAATAATGTACTTGAAATCGCTATATATATCGCTTTATACGCTATTAGATATATAATTATGGTCTCGGTTTTGAAGAAATATCAATATATACATTTATATATCCAATTTCCATACAAACTAAAGGCAGCTAGGCCATTTATAAGCATGTGTAAATCCATATATAAATCCGTGGATAGTAGTCCATGGTTTCAACAGTATACATATGAATACCTGTATATAAAATTCCTATAAGATTCCCATAGCACATGAGTACTAAATTTGATTGAAAGTCCTTGCGCTTATATAACCTGAAATACTCCATATATACGCATATATATTATAATTGTAATTTATTTATATGCAATGCACATAAAGTTTATAATGAAAGAATGAAATCAATTTATTTATACTTTTATTTATATAATTATAAATTTATTTAAATAAAATATAAAATATTGAATGAGAATAAATAGCCAAATCGAGTTTAACATATATAAATTATAAAAAAATTAAAATATTTAAAAAATGTCATTTTCGGTACAAAAAAACAGTTCTTATTTCAAAAAAATTATCATAAATCTAATTTTTTCTAAGTTTTTTTGAAAAATATTTTTTTTAAGAATTCATTTTTCGGCACCAGAAGTTTCAGCAATTTTGAAGCACGATGTCATGCAGCATCTGTAAATAAGATCATATATCATAAGTAGGCAGTATTAATATTTGGAATTAATTTGGACAATGGCAGTATGATGTAACAGATTAATTATTGAAAATAAATAAACAATTATTACTGACATACGAATTTCAAATCACAGTAGAAACTCGTTTATCCGGCCGGAATTCATGCAAACCAAATTAAATTTATTACGTACTTATTTCACGGTTAAAAAATGCAAATTACCAAACAGATATTGTAAACAAATTATTCGTGCATAGGTATTTAAATATTTTATTTCATGATTAATGCTTAATTTAATTGTAGGAAAATATGTATGTAATACATACATGTGTTAATTTCTTAATAAACATAGATTTTTGTTGATATCTATCCATGAACTTGATATCGAATTTCCCGTAGGTAAGCGGTTAAGAGCGATGAGATTTGATTCGAAGGTCCTGGGTTCGATACCCACTTCGAGCAGCATGTTGTGGCAACGATTTTTACTTGGAAATATAGATAGCAGCATGTTATCAAGTGGAAATGACCCACACCCGACGTTGCTGCACCAATAAAAATATTAAACAAATTGTAACACTAATATGTAGTACAAAGATGTGACAGCTATTTGGGTTGCCATCTGTCAAACAGACTAGTATTAAGTCAAAATCGGCACAACAGCTTATAGGAATATTAGGTTCTCATTGCTGTTCAAAAATAATTAAAAAAAAAACAGCCGGTACAGTAGTAGATTGTTTTGAAATCGGTGCCGTCCCGTAAGGGTTAAGTCGAAAATTAATACAACAGCTTATAGAACTATTAGATTCTGATTGCTGTTAAGAGCGACGGGACTTGTTTCAGAGGTCCCTGGTTCGATACCCACTTCGAGCAGCCTGTTGTCAGACAGCATTGACAATGATTTTCACTTGGAAATATAGATAGTAATATATTTCCAAGAGAAAATAGCACTCACCCGGCATTGCTGCATCATTAAAAATATTCGCCCTATTACAGAAATTGTAATAATAATATATCATACAGAGATGTGACAACTGATTGGGTTGCCATCTGTCAAACAGACTAGTATTAAGTCTAAATCGGCACAACAGCTTATAGGTGTATTAGGTTCTGATTGCTGTTCAAAAATAATTAAAAAAAAAACAGCCGGTACAGTAGACTGTTTTGAAATCGGTACCGTCCCGTAAAAAGATGTAATGATAATGAAGTAATCGATGAACAATTATTATTGTCATAACAATTTCAAATTATCGATATTTAAAATACAATTCTTTGCCATTGATAAGATAGTCAACTAGAAGGGGATAACGGCGCCCTTGTCGCACGGCCTCACTCATTATAGAACTATTAGATTCTGATTGCTGTTCAGAAATAACAAAAAAAAAGATGTAATGAAAATGAAGTAATCAATGAACAATTATTATTGTCATACCAATTTCAAATTATCGATATTTAAAATACAATTCTTTGCCATTGATAAAATAGTCAACTAGAAGGGGATAACGGCGCCCTTGTCGCACGGCCTCACTCATTATAGAACTATTAGATTCTGATTGCTGTTCAGAAATAACAAAAAAAAAGATGTAATGATAATGAAGTAATCGATGAACAATTATTATTGTCATACCAATTTCAAATTATCGATATTTAAAATACAATTCTTTGCCATTGATAAAATAGTCAACTAGAAGGGGATAACGGCGCCCTTGTCGCACGGCCTCACTCATTATAGAACTATTAGATTCTGATTGCTGTTCAGAAATAACAAAAAAAAAAGATGTAATGATAATGAAGTAATCGATGAACAATTATTATTGTCATACCAATTTCAAATTATCAATATTTAAAATACAATTCTTTGCCATTGATAAGATAGTCAACTGGAAGGGGATAACGGCGCCCTTGTCGCACGGCCTCACTCATTATACAACTATTAGATTCTGATTGCTGTTAAATAAATAACAAAAAAAAGATGTAATGATAATGAAGTAATCGATGAACAATTATTATTGTCATACCAATTTCAAATTATCGATATTTAAAATACAATTCTTTGCCATTGATAAGATAGTCAACTGGAAGGGGATGATGGCGCCCTTGTCGCACGGCCCTACTCCGTCCTGCCGCAGGAGTGAGGCCGAAATCAGTCTAGCCCTTCGCTTCGTTGTGAGCGGTCGCCGGTCGGGAGCCTATAGGTGAGCACGTGTTTCGTTAAAAATAAAATTTAATATAAAAGTTAAATATATTATATGAGTTCCATATATCGATCTGATTAACTATGATTCTGTTGTGAAGTGCTAGTAACAATAATTATTTATTAAAGTGTGAACTATAAAATTTTGTGCATATTAGTGATTTATTGACCAGTGATTTTTCGGAACGATTGTGATGTTAAGTGGTTCTGTTTGTTCGGATCAAATTGAGATTTAATTGTTCTTCCAGTTTAAAGGTAGGATTTAGATTTTTTTTGTAATTGATTTGTTTTTTTTTTTTAATGATATATATTGAGATTATAATATTATAATCGACTAATTTTTATTTATGAGCTAGATGCGGTTATTTTACAAATACTTATAAATAACTAGGAATGTCGATTAACCATGTGCTTAACAAGTAATTTTCTACTCATCTTTCGCCATTGCATACATTGTGATATCATCAAAGGTTATTTAAGAAAATATGAAACTCTGGTTTAGTAACAAATAGTCCTTTTATTTTTTCAAAATTTCCATAACAAAAGTACCTAATAAAAGTACTGATGTCTGCATGGACGCTTCGGAGGCGTGCAGATACCGTTAAATAATTGTTTTATTTTTAGAAAATTGCAAAACGCAATTAAATGCGAAGAAATTCATGCAAATATCATATTTTGATCAATGAATGCTATAGCATCCACGTCAAGTATTACGTTTCTTACGGAAAAAATAAGATAATGCAAAATTACTATAGATATAATAGGTTTAATAATTACAAAAACGTAAGGTTATATAAAATTAAATTCAAAATAATTGAGTTTAAAATTTGGATGGTGTAGCATTCATATAATTCTGCATCTCAATGAACATGAACGCATTGTATATTATTTTTTATTATATAATTAAGTAGAAATTTATTCAACGCAATTATCATGTTTTAATCATTAAATGCTATAGCATCCACGTCAAATGTTACATTTTACAAAATGTGTTTACCCAAGCTAGAAAAAAGATAAGATATTGCAAAAATACTATGAGTATAATAGGTTTAATAATTACAAAATCTTAAGGTTATATAAAATTAAATTTGAATTAATTGACTTTAAAATTTAAATGCTATAGCATTCATATAATTCTGCATCACAATGCAAATGAACGCATTGTATATTATATTATTTTTGAATAAATAATTTTGATTAAATCAAATGAATCTCAGTATAAATTTTACATGAATTCTAAAATGCAGTTATTGATAAAGTAGTTATGTAATTTATTGAAAAAGTCGAGTAATATCATTGATGGCAATAGTTATAATTTTATATTTATAAAAGTATAAATCATAAAATTATGAAATACAAAATAAAAAATAAATTTGAATAAGAAAAAGTATTATATAAAAAGTATTATAAATAAGTAATAAATAAATCAAATAATTATTTTGATTTAATTACTTTTATCTATAAAATATTTGTATTAAAAAAGTACAAATAGATTATTTACCAAAATGCAAGAATTACTAACTTCTTGCTAGTATTATATAAAATTATAATTAATTAATAATTAAAATAAATATTTAATTATTTATTAATTATTTATAATTTAATATAATAATAGCTTGAAGTTGGAAGTTCATGCATTTTAGTAGAAGAATCTGTTAAAAGTATTTTTAATACAAAGATTTTATAGATGAAAGTAATTGAATCAGAATAATATTTATAATTTAATATAATATTAGCTAGAAGTTCGAAATTCATGCTCTTTAGTAAAAAAAATCTATCAATAGTATTTTTAATACAAATATTTTATAGATACAATGATTGAATCAAAATAATTATTTATTATTTATAATATCATTTAATATTTTTCCTTATTTCAATTTTAATTTTTATTTCGTATTTTATAATTTTAAAATTTATACTTTTATAAATTTAAAATACTTAAATTAAAGATAATTGTTATCAAATTAATAATTAATTTTGATTAATCAAAAGTATTTTCATAATTCAATAAACTATTGCCATCAATGATATTACTTGACTTTTTCTATAAATTACATAACTACTTTATAAATAACTGAATTTTGGAATTCATGTAAAATTTATACTGAGATTCATATCACAATACTTAATTATATAATCAAAAATAATATACAATGCATTCAATTTCATTGTGATGCAGAATCATATGAATGCTATACCATTCAAATTTCAATTATTACGATATGAATGGTATACCAAGTCAATTAATTTGAATTTAATTTTTTATAACCTTACGTTTTTTGCAATTATTAAACCTATTATATTTGTAGCATTTTTCCATTATCTTATCTTTTCCTTAGTTTGGGTAAGCACATTTCGTAAAATATAAGTGTAATACTTGACGTGGATGCTATAGCATTTATCGCATATATCGAATAAAATATGATAACCTGGCTATTCTTATAAATGATGTTTAATCAAGTTTTGGATATCACAAGCAAGTTAAAAATTTAGCAACCCTAAATTTTTGTACCTTTTTTATGGAACTTTTTTGGTGATATATATCATGGTCTTATAGATCTTACTGAAATATTACGACATGTAGTTTAATTTTAAAAATGCATCAAAATTTAGGAAAATGAGTATTTTTTTGGGGTTTGTTTAAATTAAAATTAGACGATTCACTTGGTATAACGATTGAATACTTGGTCTTAACATACTAAACCATTAATGTCCTACGGAAACAGGTTCAATTATAAAAAATGGTTGATTTTTGAAAATTTGCTTTTAGAAAATACTCCGAGTTAACGCGTTCATTCGTTTTCAAATGTGTGTAATAAATCGACTCAGAATACTTTAAATCAATCATAAATTAATTTATTTTTTATTGATTAAGTCGATTATATACACATATCGGTAAGTTCAAATACCAATACCAACTAGTTTTTTTTTTGACTTTGAATACGATTAGATTAGTCATATACACTATATCAATCAATTTTATATACAATTTTGTTATTGGATTGGATATAAGTATATCGAATACATCGAATTATTTCTTGTTAGAATAATCATAAATAATAATCGTTTAAATATTATTAATTTGTAAATAATAATCGTTTCCAAATTAGCACTTGCAAACAATTTCTTTTACAATGACTTGCGAGAATTCGGTCAGTCATCCTCCTCGGCTAAATCTAAAAAATGTACTAAACGAAATACAAATTCTTTACAAACAATTTAATGTTTTCGAGAGGCGTTTTCATAAAGTTTTCGACTGAAATGAGAAAGTTGCGAATTAATTCGTTGCTTTGGTGCGTTTCCTATGTAACAAAGTTTTTGCGTTGGAGCTAAGAAATTCCTTCATAGAACAAGTTATAAGCAAACATTTCCTTCCGACAGTTGGTTTATGCTATTTCATTGTACCTATCTACTTTGGCATCCTTACTATTTTCGACTACATATATGAATACTGGAACCAAGTCCTCATAATATATACATACTGTAACATGAGAAACTAAAAACATATGTTATAAGGCCACAAGGAGGAATAATCAAAACTGCACTAAATGTAATTTTTTTCTAAGTTTTGTACTCGATTTCATACATTTTTTCATTTTTTACTTCCCGTAGTAAAAGTTAAAGTGCCTCTTTATTAATTTATAATTTTACTATAGAACACCAGCAAATTTTTTGGTAGTACTTATTAGTGTCTATATTGGAACCCAATCTATTGATTTGGGCGTCCGAGTATTATATGGTAAGTTATAGTAATCGCAAAAGAATCGAAAATGCAAATTTTGATAACTTTACGTTTCAAAAATTTGTATCCGCACACACACATACACACATACACACATAGATACATTTTTTCTAAGGTATGCCAAAATGTTCAAAAACCTCTGAATAGAAAAGATGTATAAAAAAATTAACTTTCGATTTTTTTGCGAATACTATTCTCACCAGACAATAATTTATAACATATCTATACGTTTCAATACCTTCTGAACATTTTGGATACCTTAAAAAAAAATGGATGTATGTGCCAATGTGATGACCGAAAAATTGTGACGATTTTACCAAAGCTCTAGGTTGCACCTAAATGTTCATTAAACATTAAACATTTTTTTTTTATAACTGTTAGAATTAATACTATCACCCCGTTTTGGCTTGAGGTTGAGTTCCGGGACACCCTGTATATATAATACATTATATTTTTTCGTACATTATTTAAAACAATATTAAACCCGAAACTTACGTTAACCTTAATAAATGTAACAATTCTTTAAATTTATTATCCTATTTCCTACCTTGCAAGGATTTTAACAGAAAATTACCTCTCGGCCAGAGCTACCGTTGGTTATAATAAAGTAAAGAAAAAAAAGGGAAAAATTAATAACCACGTCATTAAATACTTATTGTTAAGAAAACTCATAACTTCCACAAGCGCACGAGCGATTTTCATGTTTCCCAGCAGTTATGGGCAACAACAAGAAAACAAAAACAGGCCCCATGTAATTGTTTCACATTGTAACGATTATTAATAAACGTATGTTCGGACACTAGTTGGAAACGTGATGAAAAATCCATATTTTGAACGAAAATACACATTTCCTCATTGTATATAAACAGAAAACACCCTAAAGCAAATCTGTTAGCTGAAACCATAACTCAGATCGGAAATTTTTCTATCGAGAATAAAAAAAGACAGCATTAGATCTTTTGTGAAAGATTATCAAAGTTTGATATTCAACAAATCATTCTTTTTGCATTTGATTCAAGTACATTTGACAATTCATTACGATAAATAAATAGTAAATAATCGACTTAATAAGTTTTTGGTTTCTCTTTGTGCAATTATTATTTTTGTGTTTCTGAAAATTGAAAAATAAACTAGTCGCACCTTAAGACATATTGCTGAATCTTTTCGTACTAAAAATTAAAATTTTTAAGAGTCTTCAAATTGGTATAGAAATGTAAACAAAATTTGTATTTATATATAAATATATACCTTTAATACTA